GAGCTTTCTTCTATTTATTGTTGCTAGGGAACCACCTTGCTATTCACACACATAACATGTCTCTTGACATATGTTCCAGAGGACAAGATGCAACACAGCTCTGCAATATACAGTGAAAAAATGTACTGCAGCATTCTTGGAAATATTCTCCCACAGAAGAGCACTGCTGCTGTAGTACCTTAGCTTCAGATTGCTGGGGATTTCTTACCTGTTTGTTTAGACAGACTGGAATTGTAAAACTGCATGCAGTAATCTGATGAATAGTACCTAATTCTGCCCAGGATTAAAAGAGAAAGAACACCAGTCTGTGAATTAGGTGTTGCTAAAATAGCATCCTTCTAATTTTATTTTTTTAAATATTCTTGTATAAGGGAAATGTTCTGTAAGAAGTCTTCCTGTTATGGAACTAAAAATACCCAATCCAAGTCGGGAGAAAGTGGAAGTGTGACCCATTTCTGAATAGCCAGGTATCTGAAGGTTATTTGAATTACATGAGTCACCTGCTGTATTAGTCATACAAATACTGCACTAAGTACTGAAAGGCAATAAGCTTCTTTAACTCTCAGAAAGTACTTATTTCTTGAGATAACAGCTTTTGGCAGGACAAAAAAGGTGATATAGAAATATTGAAGAGGTATTATTCTGTCCAGAATCACATCTGACTATGGGAAACAACCCCATTTTAGTTTCCTGTTGATTTTGATTACTGCCAACATATCTGTGTGAGGAGGGATATTTGAGGTTGAAGGCAGCAGTTTGAAAAAAGGCAAAAAAGCATGAACATGAAAGGGCCATATCTCACTTAAGTCCTGTGTGCACATTTATATTTATTGATGATGGAAGACCCTACTACCTGGATTTGCTCAAATACCAGTTGATCTAACATTACAGAGCAGGACTTACTGATCCAAACAGGAGGTGTTCCTGCTGGATAAAAGAGCTTACAAGTTGAGACAAAACAAGCAGGATAAAGCAGACAGCTAGAGAACCTAAAGGAAACAATACCTAACAGTCCCCTCAGCTGTCCTGAAGATCTTAGTTTAACAAAACCTACGTATCTGTATTTTATATGATGTGTATGTTTATACCAGCATTGTCACTAAGTACCTTGTTGCAGAGCTGAGATTAAAACACCAGTTCCATACTAAACTCTCTAGAGAGCAATGGGAAATTGTCCTAGAACAAAGGCAGTTTCTTTTAGGGCCTGTGGAGATACTTGGAAAAAATGCAACGTTAAATTTTAAATTTTCAAAGCTGATGTGTGACAAATCTAAAATGACCAGCACGAAAGCAGCCAGTCTCTCTACAAACTAACTTTCAAGCTGCACCCCCCTGGCTATCTCTAGTACCCTGAGAAAATGCAATTTATTCACAAAGTATTGCTGTACAGTTGTAGAGGGCTCTCCAGCTGGTTTAGGCTTCTTTTGTTGTGCAGTACCACACATAGCAGTTTCATATACAACATGGAGACAACAAAGGCATGAAAGAAAGGAGAGCTCCAGTCTTTCAAGGAAACAGAAGGAAAGTAACTTTTCAAACTGTATTAGTGGCTCCAACTGCAAGGTGCTAAGTATATTCCTTGACACCTGAAAAACAAAGGCTCATTATCTACTTTAGGTATTTGCCAGCATTACAAGTAATCCCTGAGAACATGTTGTTCTGATTTGGCAAGTGCTTTAGTATGCACTTGTGTTCTACATTCAAATGTGACCTGTGCCTATCTGGTCACCAGATTTAAGGCCAAAATGTAGGGACAGTAAATATTTGAATTATACTTTTCTCAGTATTGGGCATGAAGAGTACTTGGTTTTTTTTTTTTCCAGCTCTAATCTCTGAAGGTTATCTTGCTTGGTTTTTTTATAACATTAAAAAATAAATCCTTCTATGAGGAATAAGTCCAGCATAATTGTTTTCAATCAAAATTATTAAAATACTTAGCAGTAATGAGTCAAAGGTATCCTCTAATGGGAAATGTATTAGACATTGCAGTCAGAGACGCAGCAGGGGAAGCTACAAGGCAGAACTCACAGCAGCTTCTCAGTGTAAGAGAATTTGCAGGGGAACTACTGCCCATCTGAGACAACATGCAAGCAGGGGCTTTGGGCACTGTGCCCTACCAAAAGGAGACATCCATCAGCCCAGCAGTACAGATCTCACTGCAGTGAGCAATCTCACTCAAACAAAAACAAACTCAACACAAATTGTCACACAGAGCCAGCCTCCTCTGGTTACATGCACTTCCTTATCTCCTGTGCTTGGTAATTTAGAACTGTGAAGCTCCACACATTGGCTCAGGTCATTCCTGTGGGTTTCTTTGCAAACAGCATAATTTCATTCTCATCTATGCTAACAGTCACCCAGGCTTCATTCATCACTGCCCCCACCTCTGAGAAAAGAAACTGAAAAACAGGACAGCAGAATTCAGGTTAGACGAAAATTAGATAGAAATCATATCAAAATCACCACAAAACTCAAGTCTCCCCTGGCAGCTATGCACACAACGTGAACTGATCTCAAGGGATTCTGAAGTAAAGAATAACATTTGTTGGACACTGTAGAAAAAGATCCTGTTTGTAAAAGAAAAAATGTAATTTCCTTGTGAAATACCGTGAGTTACACAAGATTCCTATTGCAAGGGTGATGAAAATATTCATAAAAAAATTCAGGCCATCACTGAAAAAGGAAAGATGCTGTTATCCAAAGGTCAAGGCCAAAAGAAGACTGTTCCACTAAATCTCTCAAAGGTCAAAAGAAAAGAAAAAACTTAATACATAAATATTACATTCATCAAATTGAAGTGTAAGAATAAGATTTGACAAAAAAGATCAAGCATTTTCCCAAAAGTAGTTTCTCAACTCACCAATTTAGCAGTTTGCAGCAGCAATGCTGGAATAGCTGGAATACACTTAAGCACTACTTTAAGTGCTATAGTTATGAGTAAAATAATCCAAATTACTATTGCAAAATACATGACTGTAAGCAATAATTAAAACACGTACCAGGTTTATTCTCTATGTAAAGTTTGCAAGCATAAGGTTTTAACATTTAAGTAACTGCCTGGCTATTGGGTGGAACTCAGTGTCATTTTGGATTACTGGGGCAGAGAGAAAAAATTTCATGAACACACAGATTGACAGTAGACTTTTATTAACATATCTTACAATGCCAATTATTGTATTCCTAGTTTTGTACTCTTCTGATGTGTTATAAAGATTGATTTAGAGTCTACAGTAATGTACTGTACTTAAATGATCATTCATACAGGATATCACACCAGAACATTTGAGTAATACGCACACACACCACTCTAGTTTGGACCTGTTATTTTTCAAGGTTAGCTTAATAAAGTAGGATTTAAAAAGTCATGGGGGAAATAAAAATCCTTGTTTAGCAGCATGCAAGGATATTCAAGTACAATTTTTCAACCAAGTAATTTTTTGTCGTTTTTAAATTGACTGGTGACTAATTCACCAGTACTATAATAACCACTATGAAATACCCAAATGTTAAAGTTAAGGCTAATAGTTTTACATCACATCCATATGCACAATCAGAGAACATTCTGTTTTAAATAAAACACAGTAATCAAATTCTGGACACATTATCTCTTGTAAATAAAGCATTGGAGCTTCAAACTACAGATCACTCAAGTTCATGAGCCCTGTAATAATGTTATGCTGGCAATGTAAAGAATCTTTTTGCTCTTTAACCACACTTACAAAATGGCCTGATATTCTTAATGAGCAATGCAAAAATATCACAGGCAGAACTTATAATACAGTATCAAAAAAGTAATATTTTGGAAAAGACACAGCCATTTAGTCAGTGAAACAGAGTAATTCTAATCTTATAGGAAGTAGTGTAATACTTTTGAAATATATATATATATATATATATATTTATATGTATGTATAAAAACCAGTATCCTTTATTGTAGGGTTTTTAAATTGCAGGTATCCAGAAAAACTCATTGTATTTACTTTTCCTTCGGTCTGTTCTTGATTGCTATACAGTGATTTTATTTCCCCTATACACTTTTCACTAGATAATGATTTTCACTGGGGAATTGTTTTCTTTGTATATGTGGCTTTATCATAAGATGTTTTTATTTTACACATACAAAGTTTATTTTACACACAAGCTGTGAAAGTCAAAACTACCAGGGAACTGCTTGGTAGTACTGTATGAAATAGCCCGCAAATGTCCAAGACTTGTGAAAAACAATAGTAGCAATATATTACATACCAGTATTTTGACTATAATCTTTCCTACCTACTTACACTATGGATTTTAGCCCAGTTATGCCTCTTCTCATGAATTTTTTAGTTCTCTAAGCATAAATTGTTTTGGCATTCATCCAGTGAGGCTGCACATGCACTGGTAGCTCATCTTGGCTACCTCTGTTGATTTTTTTAAATTTTTCCTTTTTAGGAAACCAAGCAGAAAGAACTTGTTAAAGTGATTACTTTAAACAATAAAACAATATTGAGGAACCTCCTGAAATGACAGTAAAGATACAAAATGATGTTTCATTTTTAGAATAGCCTGCACATTCCTAATCCAATCACTCTGGAACATACATCTGGTTTGGAATGATAGGCAGGCTTATGGTTGTTACGCTTGTAACTGGGATCTGCTATGTTGGGCACCAAACAGCAATTTCTCTATGTTATCATTAACAATTTATTCAAATGATGTGAAAAAAAGTAAAGCTCCTTCCAGGGGAAAAAAATGAAGACAGAATGTGTGTTCTGGATTACATGAAGAGCAGTAAGATACCTAATTTACAGTTATTTCATTGACTTATGGAGAAAAAAAAGAATGAAGTTCCTGAGAATGTGTAAGTTTTCAGTAATGCCTGAAATATTTCAATAGACCTCTATAAGTGAAATACTCTTTAAAATTCACCTTTCAGACCAATTATTACCATGCAGTCTCACAGTTGTTTTACAGACCTAATTACAAATGCCTATCAAGTCAAAAACCTCAAGCCAACACAAAAAAGGCAAAGGAATTTTATCCAACATACTTAGTAGATGTAATAGACATATACACCGTTTCAGCAAAAATTGCTAAAAACTCAATTCCATGCAAAGTAAAATAAAACCCAGACAGCTACCCCTGGAGCCTCTAAACAACTCCAAGTAAATTTGTGCTTCTTAACAATAATGGACTTTAAAAAACACAAGAAAAATAGACTACTGAGTGCAATAAGATTGCTCACACCATTTTGAGGATTTAATTTCAATTATTGTATCATTCTTTTGTAGCAACAACAGCTCATTTTGCACAGATTCCACATGTTGACAAAGTTCCATTTCCCTTTTAAGCCCATACCCGCTTCCACCTCGAGCCAAGGAGCCAAACTCCTGTTCAGTTAAAGCTATTGTCAGTCAAGATGCATTCATTCATGGTAACAGCAGTTACATGGTGTGTAGATGATGATGACGATGATTTACAAGCCATTATAATGTGGCCCCCATCTTTTATTGATATGATCAAAAGTATGAGACACCCACTGCTGTTCAAGCACTTTGTATCTTTCCTTGCATATGTATAGGGGTTTACCACGCCTGTGGAGGAAAAAAAAAAGAAGAAAATAAATAGTTAATATGCCAAGTAAATGGAAAGATGCTTCATTACATAATCAACACTATACTCATACAAATGTTTTGCAGGGTAAACATGCATTTTTTATTGCTGCGCGGTTTTTATTTTTGCTTCTGGTAGGGTAACTGCTGGGACTTCCCTTCCTTACACTGGATAGCAGAATCCAGAAACAATCACTTGTTCTCTCATGGAAGTTAAGCCCCATCCCTACACTGGAATCCAACTGCATTGTTTGATTAAAGGCCAAACAACAACATTGGGAGACAAGTGTTTCCCAACACAACACAGAATTAACCACAGTTGGGAATGGCAACATAGTAACCTGTATGCTGGGTTCCTGGTACAACTCAATGATCATGACTACACCACCTCTGGGCCAAAAAATCCTCAAAAACCCAAGCCAATGAAAGTCAGTCCAAGTGCACTAAATAGGGATTTTCCATTTTTCCACACAAGGAAGGTAGAGATCTATTATAATCTGTTATTGCATGCTACAAGACAGAGTTGATCTACACAGAGGCACCAACAATGAAACAGAGCTGTAATGAAAACATTACCTAAGATCTCTGTCTTCTTCCCCGTGTGCATCGAGATAAACAGAACCCCAAAGGCAGAAACGATGGCCTCGTATGATGATGATTACAGATGCATTAATCAAAAGGAATATTCCTGTTCCAGCTCCACAGTTTTGAGAATGCTGTAATGTTTTGGGTGTAGAAAGGCAAGAGTGCAAAGATTCTGTTAATATCTGCCAACTTTGTAGCAGAAGAAATTTAAAAAATAATACTTTGCTTTCCTTCAAACAACATTCAAAAGGCATTATTGAGTAAGAGAGTTTGCCAAAGGATAGCCTGCCCCAAAATTCTCCATCCAAACTAGAATTCAGTGTCTTGTGCTGCCATAACACCACCTGCATATAAAAACATTTCCCTACTCAGCAAGGGAGAATGTTTGTTACCATGTAAAAAATGAATTACAAAAAATAAACAAAAATATTATGTGCAATATTTTGAATTTGTTGTTGTATAGCAAACTGTTTAGGATTACCAAGTATTTTCCATAGATAGCAAAAACAAGAGAAAGTATTTAGAAAAACAAAGTATTACCTCTTTTACAACAGTCTATAGTGTTAAACATTTGCTTTCTCTATCCATGCTCACAGATCTAGTCTATGGATCTACAAATCTAATAAAAAAATTTTTAAGTAATTCTTGATTTGTTGAATATGTCATTCATCTCTGAATTTTATGCCCCATTTGTAAATATCTCTCTAACAAACTACTCTCACAGTTTTATGAAGTCCATATAGTTCCAGTCTTCCCCTAACAGTTCAATGGAAGTAAAGAGAAAACCTATCAAAGCAAAACTTCATCATAGTATGAAAAACAGCAATAGATGTCATCCAACTCAGACTCCCAAAAGAACTTATGTATATACTGACTAGAAAACTTAGCTACTGAAAAAGTCAAGGACCTTAAATCAGCACCTATGTAGTTACAGTCTGTAGATCTCTAGTAGGTGGTCAGGTATCAGGAAATACTCAAATCAACCACAGACTGATTTTCTATGTACTTGGAAAGCAAGGAAACAAACCAGAGAAAAATTAAAATAATATACAAACAACCCAAATGTAAACAAATTTCAACTGGCTGTGAATCAAAACCATGTGTCAACATTACACACAGTGGCTTTGTAAGACTTCACAAAAAGGGGAAATAGGTTGCTATGCAAGTAAATTGACCTCCAGAATCCAGTCTAGGTCTATCCCTCAGAAATAGGCACTAAACTGTATCACTGGGGGTTAGACTAGATGATCCTTCAAGAGTTCCATGCAACCCAAACTATTCTATGATTATATAAACTCATTTTGAAAAGGAAACCATCAAAACTAAGCAATGGAGTTAACAAATATCAATGAGTGTGAGAATCAATTACAGAATTTGAATTAACTCTCCCTTACCAGTACACATTCACAGTAGCTCTGTTGTTTACAGCACAGTCCTTTCAAGCATACAAAAGTACCACAAACTAAGCAAACAGCAGGATCTTTAGGAACCTTGGTACAAACGGAACAAGTTTTTCTGTGATAATACTGAAAAATGGTATTGTAGTTCTCAGGCAACTGAAGGAGGTGGGGCAAGTCCCACTTAGGTTCCTGGATAAGCAAAGCCTACAAATAAGGTAAGAATATATATCAGTTCAGTCAATTTTTAAAGCATTTTTATTTTCAAAGAAAAAAAAAAAAAAAAGAATACCACATAAAAGAAACATGCAGTTTAAAAATATCTCATTTCTTTTGCATTTCACAAATTTAGAAGTCAAATGTCACCTTGTAATAGTCACCTGCTCCTGGCTGATTACCCTTCCAACTGCAGTCACATTTCATCCTTTGTAACAGGTACAAAATGGGCACCAGCCTTTTCCCAGGGATGTTTTCTACATGTGACATATTTTAAATGCAAAAACCTTCACAGCTAAAACAAGAGGATTAAGAGTCACCTACAAGAAAGACTCTCTCCCTGCACTAAGTTTGTTTGGCAGTTTCAAGGTGTTACTCCCAAACTCTGGCACTGACTATGAAAGCTGTCTCCTAGCTAAAATTTAGACTCAAATTTTCAAAAACAGAACTGAAGTTAATCTCTGTAAATGGTATTTGAAGACATCTGCCTGTTTTTCAAAACTGTATTGGACACCTGCCATTAAGAAGTTACTAGAACGCACAATTTTTGACAAGACAGGCACTACCTGTCTTAAATACTGCTTTGAAAAGCCTAACTCTTCTCACTTGCTCTTAAAAACACTGTCCAATTTTATGTTGTTTGGGGGGGGTTTAAACAGAAATATGTTTTCTTTCAATGTAGTAATTTTTTTCTCTGTTTATAACTGATGAGCATAGTGGTCAGATGGGATTTTTTTGCAAGGTCCAAAAATTTTTATAAGAGTGCATAACCTTGAAACCTAAAATGCAAAAAAGAAAAAAAGAGAATGAAATATTGTATTTGTACCTGGTTGCTTTCCAATCATGGGAAGAATGCTATCAAATTCACTGCAATCTATAATATCTAACAGATTAGCAGGAACTGTATTTTGAGATTAATCTGGGTATTCAAATTTTCACGGGAACAATCATGTTGCAGAGTGAGGAATGCATCTGGCTTTCCCCTAACATCACAGATTTAGGAGAAGGGGACTTGAATTGTTGAGATGCAGCTTTGTCATCAAAACAATGCACTCATGTTGAAACATTTCACTACTGATTATTTCAGTTGCACTAACTCAAGTCTTGGTATTATTTCTTTAACCTTTAGAGAAAATGTACCATCTTTCATCAGCAACTACTAGACAGATTTTAACATTTTCATTTTTTTCAGTTTTGCAACTGAAGATGCAATGTTTTACAGTAATTTAAAATGGGCAAGGAAAAGTTCTGACACCTCTTTTCTTAAAGTTTCTATAACCTGCCCTTTATTGGCTACAGGTGCAGAAGACAGGGACACACTTAGTATCACCTAAGGGTAGTGTTTCTATATTCTGTCTCCAGCAATCATAAAAACCACACAGCTCTTCTTATTCCTGTTTTTAGTCAATGCAACCCACATGCACTTACCTATATTTCCCATTACAACTTCTCTCTCATTTACAAGTTACACTCTCCCATCCTTAGCCAAAGCAACAGTGTATGTGGCTAATGCATCAAGCAATAAGCAGCTGCCTCCATATCATGACTATTTTGGAAAAAATAACTTTGCTACATACCTTTACTTGATCTGGATGTCTATCTGCAAATGAAGCCAGTTCTGAGCACCACTGTGATATCATGTCAAATGCTGGCACTGGCCAATCAAGACAAGAGGCACTGGTGAACTGATGAGCTGACTGAAAAGATGGTAACAGACCCAGGCAGCTTGCAAGAACGGTGAATTCTTCATCTTCCTTTTTGGGCATGAAATCAGAGAGGTTTAGATTAATACCTAGACTCTTAATTTTTAAATAGTTTATTAAAAATATAGCTATTTCAATAAAAAAGTATTCTAGTACTAAGATGCAAATAGCCATGCTTAGTGACACAGGAAGGTTCAATTTCACCAGATCACTTCAAACTGGACTCTTGAAGCAAAAAAATTGTCATTAAAAAACCCAAAACCAACCAACCAACTTAAAACCTCAACCCAACCAAACCCCACAAACAAAACACAACTCCCCCACAAAAACCACAAATCCAAAAAATAGAAACACAACAAAAAAGCCCCAAACTCCACAATAATTTTCTTTCTGTTTAGCACCCCAAACTAGCTAACAGCTGTTTTAAAAAGGAGATGATGCAGGGGAAAGGAAAAGAGGGAGATGACCTGCAGTAAACTCAACTTATATTAGTCATGGAACTTAAACATAATTGTCTGCTGATGCAATGTCTCTGAGAATGAAGTATTAACAGGCATTAAGAAAATCAGTACTGAATTCCATTGTGTGTGGAATTACATCATCTCTGCAAATGCTGGACAAGTTTTAAAAGTATCTTGGTATTTTATGAGACAATCACCTATGACCTAATTAAATAAGCATGACTTTGCTGAAGTTTAAGAATATAATACCATTGTTTTGAAAACTGCAGTGCTACAATATATGATTTTTTAAAAATCTTAGGACAGAAAATGCATACCATGAAAAAGACACCCTCAGGTTTAGTTTTTCATCTCTAGCTTTTCTATGGAAACGTTTGAGTGTGCCCCTCTCATTCTGTACCTGACAACTAGGCAAATCCCCTCCAAAGAGATGGTGTTGAAGAAGGCTTGTGATCCTGAGGAAAGGCAGGCAGAACTGCTGCAGATAGCACTCGACAGAGTCCGGGGTTACCTAGACAGGAGGAAGCTATTACTGAATTCTGGCCTGGGTAAATGATCCCCTAAGTATGGAAAGGCCAATATGAAGCAAGTATTTTTTTAAGCCTATTATGTAAATGACTGCATCAAACATACATTCCAAAGGCCAGCATTTCACTAATAATCTGAAATACCTCTGTAGGTTCTCTTCCCCCTCAACAAACAGGTTTTCTATTTAAATATTCACTTATTCAAGTTTCTGAAAGGTCTTTTGTACTTATGATTAAAATCCATATATATATATATATATATATATATATATATATATATATATATATATATATATATATATATATGATTAAAACCTGTAATTATAAGAAGTATTTGTCAATAACTTTCTCAATGTGGCACTGACCACATCTGATACTATTAAAAGAAGCAGAGGCATTTGCAAAGGCAAACTGTCCCCAAGGGTTATGCTTTCATCTAGAAAATAAAGAGCTGTACTGCAAGTCTTTAGCAAGATCAGAGAAAAATCATTATAGCAACGAGGCAAAAAAAATTCAAGGGGACACACTGGATAAATTTTCCAGAAATTTGCCAGTACCACTGGTAATTCTTCAGTCTCTTCTTCTTCATATATCTTCCCCTTAGATAGTTCACTAATCACATGACCCAGCAATACTTCCCAAGATTTTTCTCCACTGGATGTATTCTGCAAATGAGAAGAAATCCAAACAGAACTGGTTATAAAAAGGAGAAAATGTTTCTGTAATAGCAACAACAATGAAGAATATTTCCTTTTGATCAATGTGAATTTTGACCTACCAAGATACACAATGCTTAAAAAATTTTAAAAACAAATATATAATTTTACAGAAATAGACTGCATTTAGCTCAAGAGTGAAATGTGAATTGCTACTTGAATTACATATGTGCTAAACTGAGAACTTTATGAAAGCTGTTGTATAAGGTTTGCATTTCACATTTTCTCTGTGAGAATATAAATGTTTACTTTAAAACTAGAAACAATCACTTCACAGATACATCTTGTTCCAATAGAATTTTAATTCTAATACAAGATTTTTTTTAAAAGTAGTTTTTGAAAACATACCAACTAGAATGAATGACAAACACTTACTATGTATTTTAAGCTAAAATGAATCTATCAGAAAGTACAAAGTTGCATTTGGAATGAACAATGTCTACTACAGATGGAAAATATATTTAGTGTAAAGAATAAATAGCCACTTAGCTTTGTGCCATAACAATTATATTTAAAAGCAACACAGAAAGCGTTAAGAAATAGAAGGCAGTATTCTCTTGAGTCTTTTTTCAAGTCAGAATGAATTCTACCCTGGAAAAAGATGACTGGATATGAATTCTGAGTTCTGTTAGTATATTCTCAACACAACAAACAAGGGAGTGGAACATCACTGTGATTCTTTAAAGAAACCAAATACTTCAGTACATAGTGATGTGTATAATTCATCAGTTGGCTTCTTTAATGCATTTTGACATCAACTTTCACTCTCCATTTTAGATGGTGTCTTCACCTTTCATACTGGGACCACACACTTACTATTTATGCTTATAGCCAAAGAACCAGAAGGCAGCACACACTTAATCCAGCAGCTGAAACCAACCACAGGAATAACCTGTGTTATTCCTGGAAGTTTACTCCAGAGGCATTTACGGTGTGCTTCCTATGACACTGTAACACGCCTTGCAAAGATAATGAGGGTGAATTTGGTTTCAAAAGTACAATATCCATCTCTCAGCCATGCTGAGAAATTAAACTCTTCATGTTGTTTCATCATTTAACATAAATATAAAGCAAAGTTTTCAGCCCATGCTTAAAGTCTGGAACACCAAACTGTAATAGATTCACTTGGCATTATCCTTAGACAAAAGTTTAGTGGGGTGTCATCTGTGTAGTCATGCCAGGATCACAATGTCAATCTTACCAGCAGAGAAGAAAAAAACAACCTGAACCATATGTTTTTAACCACCAGGGCTTAAAGAAACTTTAAGGAAAGAACTCAGGTTTCTAAATTAAAAACCAGCTTCCCTTGTGATGCATGAGGATGAGGGACAGGCTGAAGAAGAGAAGGGCAGCCAAAGGGCTGGGAGAGAGGAACAGGGAGCTGTGTGATTATCACTGGCCAATCCTGAGTGCTTTAAACTGCAAAATTATGTATCACATGAGAATCACTTAAGTGAACAAAAAAGAAAAAATTATGTATCACTTAAGAATCACTTAAGTAAATGAAAAAAAGACCCCATCACTAGCAAAAACCTCAAGCAAATGTCTTTGTATTTCTAAGACAATGATATTATATTGAAAGAAGGGCTGCATAGGGACCTAACAAAATGAAGTACTGTCCAGTGATCCAAATGTAAAAAAAAATTCTCATAGTAGCAAGCCAGCAGATAATTTGTCCTTAGGACCTTGGAATTCAGACTGACCACTATGACAAATTTAAGTTACATGTGAAAAGGCAGGTCATGCTTCTCAGTCTTTACTTCATTTTACATCTAAGGCCCAGCTGATGATAAAGGGGTAATACCCATTTCTTCTCCTGGTCCCAACATTTGTATCCTTTCCTTTGGTCTGACATTGGCATTCTTCTGACCTTCTGGGAAAAGCAATCTGTGGAGCAAAATGTTAACTGAAGGATTAAATGAATGCTGGTGCTAGTGCAGAGAACTTTGTCTTGGGTGGCAACTGGCATTCAATCAGCTGAACTGAAATAGAAAGATGCACTGTCACTTTACTTGTAAATACTACCAAAAGTCAAGGAAACAATGGTGGCAAATTTCCTTCTCTGTCTCTTCATCACATGAGCACTCTCGACCACATAGTGAGAGAAATTTGTATGGCTAGCCACAAATAGCACAAGCAAGCTGCAAAAGTCAAGAGGGTTTTTTCTCCAACAAGGCTGCCTGCTTTTCCTGTAGAGAAATGCATCAGGTCAATGCCCATGGATTATATAGGACAACTTCAATTTCACAGGAAGGAAAGCTGCATTCACTGATTACAATCACTGCAACAATAGACAGACTGAAACTATAGAGACACCAATTGTGAAACTTTTAAGTCTCATCATGTACAAAAACCTGCAGAAATTACAAAGCAAATTACTGGATTTTGAAACAGAAGCAAATTATTACATGCAAACCCGAAGTATCTATTACATTCATAGAGGAAATACTTAAGCAGAATTTCATAAATGTTTTAATAAACTAACCAACCTTTTTGAGAGCTCCTGACTCTTTCCATGCCATCCTATCTTCAGCACTGCATTTAACAGAAAGTGCTGCCAAGGCTTGAGTATACAATAAAGTGAACAGCACTTTTATAATGCAGGTGAAGTGTTCTGTAAAACAAAGAAAGTAATTTTTAAACATTTGATCTTTTTAGCAAATATAATGATTACAGAGTCTCTAGTTATGGAAATTATAATTCTGAAACGAAAAGCAAGTGCTACACAAAGAACAGCCCTTCAAAACATACAAAACAACATATATTTACTGGCTTTCAGAAATGACTTGGCAGCCATAGTGAACAGAACAAGTACAGAGCAAGTAATTTTCCACTGCTCCTTATTTTCCTCTTAATCCTGGTTAGCAGTGACTTCATCCTAGTGCCCTGGTGATAATACAAGATTATATTTTGTCCAAAGATTACATAAGTTAAGCCACTGATTACTGTAGATGTAAGCAAATGCATAGGCTACCATCTCTTCTGCCTCCCATCAGGGGTGACGCTCATACAAATATTGGAAGAATTAAATTTAAAAAAAAATTACCACAAGAACATCTAGCATATCAGTTTCTAACCCTTCCCTTCCAGATATGGATCCCACCATAAAACACTTGCTGTAAAACACTCTTGAGTGAGTACCTATTTACTGGACCTCGCATGCATACAGAAGGAAGGGAGAAGGCAGACTGGCATTTACTGTATCTTCAAAGATCTTTATGATTATTTTTTTAATATTTAAAGGACTATTATTTCCTACAGCTAGGCTGCAGGAGAAAGGTTTTGAAACTTTTTGGGGGAGGCTAGCAACAGAAGCAAAGTAAGACTTCCTAAAATGGAAACAGGAAAAAAAAGATCATTGGCTGAAATGAAGATACTGAAGCAGTCCTTTTTTATCTTTTTACTTTAGGCTCCATTTCCAGTCCCAAATTATCTAGTTTGTTTTTAAATCTAGGCAGATCAAAGAAGTTTCTATCATCACTTACACCACTCCTTAAGCATAAACATAACTAATATGTATCTAAAAAAATGTAGACAAAAATGAGGGGTTTAAGAAGTCCTCTCAGGCTTTGAAGTCAAGCAAAACAATTTACATAAGCACCTCACAAAAACTGGGTTAAATTCATTCTTTCTTCCCAAAGGATTTAAATGAGCTTTGTATGTGAAAATGAGGAGGCCAGGAAAATGAAACACCTTGCTTCTCCTTTCCTGCATCTAATATCAAACCCCACTACTAGATAATAAAATATACACAGCTAAGACTTGAGAACATAATTAAATTTGTGAAATAACAATTGTTTGTCTATGTAACAAGTGTTTACAAATCAATGCAGACATGGATTTTGAAACTTTTTAAATGTCTCTGAGTATAAGCTTATGTGAGTATCAACTATAAGCACAATTTAAGCATCTTAACATCATTTCTTATTATGTAATTTAAAATTCACCTTTCTGTATTATATTCCTATGGAGCTTGTGTTAAACATGACAATGAATGGTCCTTTACTTTATCCCCCCCTTCTAGAGCAGGCAGCATTATCATGATCCTTCCTCTTCACATCTCCCCAAGAGGAGGATTTACCAGATCCACTAGATCTTGAGGCCATATTTTTTATCTCTGCTGAAACCTCCATTTTCTTAGCAATTCTACCCCTGAGGAATAACCGCAGGCAAGCTTGCAGGAAATTTTCTGGGACTGAAATCTACAAGATGAAACCACACACATTCAGGGAAGTGTAAAAATTGCCTCTTTGGCCCGAGTTAAGAGTTTGTAATCACAGCTAGAACTGAACTCAGGTACTGAGCTCTAGCCCCTCAACAGGAGATACAAGCAATACAAATCCATTTCACACTGAAAACATGAAGGAAACCCCCTGCACGCAGAGCAGCAGAGGCACACTGCTGTCAACAGGCTCCAGCCTGCCACAGCCTGCTCCATCTTGTAGCTCTGCACAGCTGATTGCAGTGCCCAATACTGGGTGTCTTTGCAGATTTCAAAAAAATCTGATTTTTGCTAAATAGAATTACTCTTTGTCCCCACTCCCCCCCTCGCTTAATATGAATTGTTCAATTCACCAGAAATGTGTCTATTCCACATTATGTTTCAATTAAATAAATTCTCTTGTATTTGCTTACATGTATGTGACTCATAAATCACTATGAATTACATTTTTGGAGAATCCAGAATTGGACAAAAACTGCACACTCCCACATCTAGGTCACCCTTAAGAAGTCCTGAATTCTGCCCAAACGTCATCTTTTTTTTTTCCCCTTAGGAAAATATCTCAGGAGCAGCTCAGAGGCCACCTGTTGTATAATGAGCACCAAGACTTTTTTATAGTCATAGAAACAGCCCATGGGAAACATACTGAAACATCAGTCACTGCATCAATTATCACTCCATTACTATATTACCTCTTTAAATGCCATATATTTGACAGCTGTAGGTACCTGTAATGCTGAAGCTATTGCATTCTTGTCTAGTGCAAAGAGCAAATTTATTTGACTTCCTGCAGTGTGCTTGTGGGGGCTGTGTGCTGTTTTCCTGCTGCGCCCTGAGGCAGGCTGTGCTTTTGCTACATCATCTTTTCAATTTAATAATTCTAAAGCTTGCAATTATGTGAAGTAAGCCACTGAGCAAAGTTCTGCACTGAAATGCATTTAGGGCTCCTGCCCCTAATCTGATAGTCTGACAGTCTGAAAGTATTATCACTATAGCTAGGCCAATCTAATCAAAACAGGCTAGTCCAGAACTTTTGTACTTATTTTTGAATCATACTGAGAAATGCACTTATGTTCCTATTTTTAAAACTTTTTGGAACCAAATAATTTCAAAGCATCTCATCCCATTATATGCATCTACCAACACCCTTAAAAACTAAGTTTAAATAGGAAACACTTCTAGAATTCTAATTTTAACATTAGTGCAAGAAATGCGCAGATAAATAAGCATATTACCAACAATATAAATCTTTTATTTTCAATATCAAATTAAATGGTATACCCTATGACACAAGGAATTCACAAAGAGAACCAGATGCAAAATTGAGGACATAGGGCCTTTTTTACTAAATTTAGAAGGAGATCTTTGTATAAATAACCTTTGAAAAATATTCTTCTTGATCAAAAGCATGAATGCTTCTTTGAAAACACAACTTCAGAACAAAGGGAGACAGCAAGACAGCACTGAACTTCAGATAATCCATGAAAGGTATATTAAAGTTCAAAGATACAGATAAATATTTCAGCTTCCACACTGAAACTGGATAGCAATCAAGCTGATTACATCTATACTATATATTTCGTCAACATCCTTACCCAATGATTTTTGTAAGTGTTAGTGTTTGCAGCATGCTGCTCCTTGCATCCAGTGCAATGCAGAAACTGAAAGCACTAGAAGCTACACTCTGTACTCCTAGAAATCTGTACACAGGGTCCCAAGTCAGGTGGTGAGAAAATAAAACTTTTTGCAATTGATGCTAACAAGAAACAATATCCAACTTCAATTAAATGACTCCAGCATCCAAAAACTGTGCTGCAGAAAGGACTGGTGGGGGAGAGGGGGTATTGAATTCAATTTACAAAGACAGATTTAGGTTTTGATAACCACCAAGCCACTCTTTCTATTTCTGTACACACACCATCATTTGCTATTTCTGTAAGAAAGGAGCTGGAAGCAAAATCTTTGTTTTGTATGGAGTCCCAGTTCACAACATCATGAACACTCCATCCTCTGTACAACAACTGCCACAGAACTGAACCAGAAAACTCCTATGTGGTTTATTATGCATTTAGCCCTGTACAATTTCAAAAATTTCAAATAAAATTCTAAGTATGTGAAGCCTTTAAAAGTTCAGCCCATGTCCTAGTGTGAAACTCAAAAGAATAAAGAGGTTTCACAGTGTTTATTTTGCTTGCTACACTACACAGAGGGACACATATCAGTCTCATTCCCATCTCTGCAAATTGGTTAATGCTTGTAAATGCTCTGACCTCCACCACTAAGTTTTTTCTGTAGCAGTCTTCTTTCTTTCTGATAGGTTCAGATCAATTTTCTCTTCTGAATGAAGAGGCTGAACAATAATGACATTTTTATTGCTTTAATCTATGTCAGATTGAAAAAGATACCAACACCCATCCAACAGTTAATAGGGAAGCTAATGCAATTCCCAGTCTGAATTTAAAATTAACAGCTAATAGGGAAGTTAATGCAATTGCCATCTGAAGGGCAAGAGATGAGATTTTGAGTCCTCCTTAAAGAGTGCTCTCTACTTTTAAAAAACGCATTGTGTAAACAAAAAGGCTTTTGAGTACACATTTGAAAAACAATGTCATATTTGATTAAGGACACAATGCAACTTACTCAAGTCTATTGTTAAAGGAATTTACTGGAAATATCTGTCAACACACTCGGGCATCAGCCTCCTGTGTGTATCCCAGTGCACAGCCAAGTCCACGGCTCCTGCATGGCAAGGGCAAGGCAGCACAGACAATTCAGGAAGCAGGAGGGTCAAACAGATTTTGTTCACCCCTATTGCTGACCTTGTGCTTACCATGAGACATTTCACAGGCCTCTTTACCTCAGTTATACCTCAGCCCTCTACAAAGAATGAATGATATTGAATTTGACTTTGTGACCTACAAACCCATTGTAAAAGTACTAAACAAATTTGTTATGGCTTATTTTTGTGAACACCACTCCACACCTCCAAACAAAGAATTATGAAAGACTTTCTTTTCACTCTGCTTAACCATTTTGATGAAACAAAAATTAGGAAGATAAAAGGCAATTTATTTCCAATTTAATGGTTCACAGATTTGAAAGAGACACATTTATTTTCTATCTGCCACTTGCCATTTCTGTCTCAACTGCAACCTACAGTACACCTAAAAGCAAAGACAACACATGCTGCTGATATGAGGCATTTCACAGAACTCTCCACAGAATGCCTTACTATTAATTGAATGTTGTCTTCTCTAGGATAATATATACTTTCTTAAATGGTGGTATTCAATGCTTGGATATTGACTACAAAGACACCACTGGTTTGTACTTTATCTTCAACACTTCCTTCCCTGAATTTCAGATGTTAGTCTCATTAAACTTCTATTTGCTGTTTTTATACTAGTTTGATTGAGTCCTTCCAATAGAGTTAATTTAAGTTAAATTGTGTTAAAAAAAGGACATTTTTGACAATAGTCTTCCTATGCAAAACATTTTATTCTTTTAGTATTTTCATATTCTAATCATCTTTTGGATATACTTAATCCATAAGCATGCACTTAACAATTGGATACGATGATACTGAAGGTCTTTTCCTACCTAAATGATTCTGATTTTAAGTGTATTGAATTGAAAAAACAAACCCACAATGTTAATGGATACATACAGAGTCACTTTAGTGGAATTTAAACATTCAATACCAAGGACTGAACACCTCTTATGGGGAAACAGTTTCTACTAAGGTGTAAGCATCAAGAGCAGAACAATTCCTAAATTTACCTATTCAAAAACTACCAAAACTCAGCAGATATCAAAACTGCCACACAGATCCCATGGGAGATATGAAACAGTAAATATTCACTTTGATATTTACTTTGTTTGTCCTCATTTTCAAATAAATGTACAATTACAAATAAACAAGCCAGAGACCAGAGGGTCTGAACCTCTATTCTGGAACATACATTACCTATTAGCAAGAGGAACCAGGTTCAGCTGGTCCTTTTACACAGAAAAAGAAACTTAGGTTTTAAGACAGTTCTGATTTTAGTAATGAATTTTTAAATTTTTTAATCTCTTTAATATTTATTCATAATTACTCTGTATGCTGTCTCTATTGAAATCGCTGCATTACAGCAATTATTATCTTCATATATGAACTCTTACATAAAACTGCTGCAACTTAAACTCTGAAATTCAAATTAAATTACAATCTTTCAAATTTTTAGCCCTTAGGCAAAGAAAGCAAGTTCAACTTGAAGTATTGAGCTGTCCCTCTAAGCAAAAGATGAAGGTCAAACAAAGGACACTTTTCTTTCAGCAGAAATACTTAATAGTTTCTGCTCAGCTCTTGTATCTTTAATGAATAGTTGACTGATAAGGTAAAAAGACAGGGAGCACAGATAAACCTGTCAACTCAGAACAAAAACTTCTGTTCAATGCCACCTTTTGTAGATAAGGCAGAAACATTATTTTAGAATACACAGTAGATCAGCTATGATTTACCATCCTGCAAACCATCATGAAAGCAGCCTCATCTACATAATAATTTAAATATACATATTTTTGTAACATACCTCTGTGCAATGGCTGAGGCATGGTTAAAATCTGGATAAGCAAAAGGGATGAGACATCTCTGTAAAGCACAGGAACTTCTGGCAGTTCTTCACTTACCAGCCTGGAAATAAAACCAAAAGAAAATCACTCCTGATACTATAAACCCATGTTCTTATTTTATTTTGTATTTATTTGAAATAGTATTACATTTGATATCAAGCTTACAAGCCTAATACCTGACAATTTGCTAGCTGATCTCAATTTTAAAATGGATCTCAATTAAAAAATGTAATGTTACTCATATAATAACTCATGAGGAAATTACCATTTGGGCACATGATTGTGTTGAAATGTTTTAAAACACTGAAAACTGCCTGAACTCCTTATGTCTATGTAAAGAGTCAAGGAATATTCAAACACTTGAACTGGTTTCCAAAGCATGGCATTTCACACATATACCTGTAACCAGGCTGTAACAATAAGGAATCCTCATAATACATTTAAAGTTACAAGGAATGCTCCTGCTGGAAAACAGAGACCTTAGAAAAGCTACTGCTTTCCTTCATGTAAAGAAATGAAGGCTCAAGCAGCCATGACAGGTGGGATTATGCAATCTTACACACAGTCTTTATTAAACTCCCTGGATGTCTAGAAGGAAGCAAATCAGCACAGAGATAGTACAAACTGTCCAACTATCCAGATTTACTGATGTAACATCATCTTGTTTTCCTACACTAAAAAGCAAAAAATGCTTGCAGATAGGATAGTTTCTAGCTTTGTGTAGCAATATTCAACAAAATTCCAACCAACATTATTCTTCAGGTCAAACGGCAAAAAAAAAAATCAAATGGTGAAAAATCATTCTTCCCAGTTTTAACTGATATGGGGCGTGATGGAGATCTCAAGCAGGAGCAGCTTGAGATAAAATATGATACACACCCTCCCCATGAGCCTTTCCCTTCTGCAACACACACAGGTGCAAAGAGCTGGCTGTGTTCTTACTGCCCTTGGCAAGCAGGGGTGCTGCTGATCTGCACTGCAGGAGCCACATGGAACTCCTGGTCTGACCCTGAATCTCCCACACAGAGCAGTCCTCTGCCAGTGGCCAGCAGTGCTGCAGAGGAACCAACTGAGCTCCTGCACTCCATGGACTGCAGAAGGCTGCCCACGTGTGGTTTGTGGATTCATGTGTGAGATCTTTACTGTCCTTTAACAGCTTTGGGGATTCAACCACTTCATCATCTCCGAGGCCCATAAACATGACCCTGCTTTGGAAAAGAGACTACGTAATTATTGATTTCCTGAAAACTCAGGCATCTCTCTACAGAGGGCACTTCCAGGTGTCATCTGTGATATGAATTTTAACACTCAGAAACAGTCATACAAGAGGAGGATTAAAAGAATGCTTATGGTAACATGGTTGACTGATCTTGTAAAATGAAGCGAGGGAAAACATGGTCTAACTGGTCCTTTTGAATTAATGAACCCAGACAGCTACAGAATAAACACCATCTATAACCCTTTTGCTATAATCAATCATTTATTAAAATTATTGTTTCAAAGCACTGCAATATACATATATATACATATATGTATGTGTGTGTATGTAAGCCTCCTAAACAAAACCCAAATATTCTAAAAATCAGTATATTGAATTCTAAAGAAGACAAGGGCGGCAAAAATTTGTATCACACTGCCAAGCTTCATTTTCAAAATTATACTGGCCATGAAGATACTCATGTCACTATGTCTAATTCTACTTTTACCTACAGCTAGTTCTACCCTGTGATCTACAACGCTGAATTTTAAAATAACCCTCATTGTGTAATGACTTTAAAACCATGGACATCCCTTAAATTACTTCTCATCTTTAATTCTTGGGGAAAATTTAATTTGGAATAACATTAAAAAAATCTGACTCCCTCTGGTCACATTTAGCTGAACACTTCTTTCTGACAGAGGTATCAATATTGTTTAATAGTTATGTAACAACTAGGTCAAATACCAGTTCTGTCCAAATTATTATATACATATATATCTATATATCTATATATCTATATATATACATCAACAGAATACCAAAATTGATTGGCATCAACATCACACATAAAGCAACTCATTTGCATGTGCAGGACCAACTTAATTACTTTCCTAATTTATTCAGTTCATAAGAATTGAGAAGCAAAGCTACATTAAATGTCAGGGGTTTAGATAAGCTGCTTTTGCTTGCATCAAGCACTGCAGCACATGAATCACTTAAAAATTGCTCTGTCATTTGTTAAGAGCCTCAGAAACTTCTTCATTATAAAAATGGAACTGAAATTACAAAATGTGTTTAGAAATGTGTTTTATGGAAATTGTCCATTCTGTTAATCCCTAATGCATATATGCAAGCTTGATAAATCTGACTACAAAAACTTGTGCCACAGAAGCACTTAATAAAAAGAAAGCAAGTAAAACAGCAAATAGGACCAAAGTGATACAATATGATTCAAATGTGTAACAGCTGTATGCTGAAGCAATTTTTAAAAGGGAGTTGGTGGTAAAAGAAACTATCCATGTCCTAAAATGAAAAATGCAAACCGCAGCTTTCCCTATGGAAATGACCTCTCCTCCAGCCCAAGGTAACTGGGCTGCACCCCTCTGTGCCAAAACCAGGGCTGCCTATCACCTGACAGCTAAGAAACTGCCTCTGTATTCTGCATCCTCCTCCTGGAGAGCAGTTATGCAGGAGTCACTTCTTTGGGAATGGATACAGAGAAATGGGAAATTCTGTTGTACTCTGAAATAAGCAGCATTTTGCTGATGGTGGTTCCTTATACTTACGCTCCCCATTCCCTCTTCTCTCAACCAGAGACACTTAAAAGTTTTTGGTTGATGCTAATTATAAAGGTAGAAATTCAGAAGGTAAAGTCAAAGCTCTGAGCCTCACACCTCTTTGAACTGTCTGACAAGAAAATTTGAGACACAGGGACATAGGTACACCTAAACTAAGGCTTCATCAACTAGGACAAACTTGTATTTTCTCCACAATTTGCAGGATAAGAAGCAAAGCACACAAATCCCAGATGGCAGAGAGGTCAAACTAATACACAGCTTCTGATATTCACTGCAAGACAGCAGAATCCTACTATTTATTCTGGCTGCACCTAAGGATATAATCACAATTTCATATTTCTCTTCGCTGTGCCACAGCAGATTTTCCAGCAGGTCAGTTTCTCATGATACATTCACTGACAGTACTAACACTGGGCACCTCCCGTTCTCTTTTACCACGCTGCCCCCAGCAGTCCCTCGGCACCCGCTCCCAAACTCATTCAATTCAAGCTTTTGAAAACATGGATTTGTTGCTTGACTGTGTTCATGCAGCCTGCCTAAGTTCCATCAGCACAGCCAAAGAAGATGGTGAGCTATAGTGCAGGGGAAGGAAGAAACAGCCAAGAGCAAATACTCCAAAGCTGGCCCTACTGTGAACATCTATGTCCTGCACCATCTGTCCTGAGAGGCAGCTGTTTCAGGCAGAGTTTCTGTTCTATGGAACAGTGCACATAAGTCCTGCTGCAGCACGTGAGTGTATAGGCCCCCACTCACATAAACCTTAACCAAACCCTGCTATCCCACCATTCCTACTCTCTCTGTCTCAGGGTATCTTCACAAAAGCCATGGGCTTTTTCCCCATTTCACAACAGTTTCTGTGATGGAGATGTGATTTAAGAGGTTCCTACACACAGCTGCTCAGTCCTATCCCTGAATTGCAGTTTGTTGCCCCAGTATGGCACCATAAACAGTCTCTGATGTGATCTAGCTTAGAATGAAACATCAGTAAAACACTGCAGAAAAAATAACCCAGCATTTCAGTTTATCATGCAGTTCCTCCCTCCAAGTGCTTCTACTGCAAAGATCCTTAATGTTTTATCAATCCATTCTTTGCTGATATAGTCTGTCTATCAAAATAGACACAAAAATTTCAGCCTTCTTAGAGATTTAAATTTTAAAAAACATGTATATCCTTTCATCTCATGTTTGTTGTTCCTGAAACGGTGCCTGTTTGGACTAGTCCATTAAATTCACATCTGGGTTTAGTAATTATTGCCTCCAGCTGCTCCTTGCCTGCCCCCTGCCAGAAGCTATTATTCCCCCTTTGCACCACAATAATTGTTTATTTGATCACTATTGAAACCAGATCTGCCCCAGAAGAACAATTTGCTTAAGTACAGCCTGTGGGACCAAGCATACATTGAATTTTGCAACATAAACTGCACAGGAGAAATAATCTACTAATCCATTCACAGTTCACCAGACTCAGCTTCTTCTTTTTCCCCTTTATCTTCCAAAGAGCTCACATTATTTAGGCCCTTTTTGATAGTCTATCTTCTTGCTCAAGATTTCCTTATTTCTACTTAACCTTTCTGTGGCTGCTTGAGCTTCTCCCTATCTTTCCTTTCAGTTGCCATTTTCAGCTACAAGGAGATCTAAATACAATTGTAGAAGACATTGGATAAAACTGGTGGTTTTGGGAAGTGAAGGAATTCGGAGAGACTCTTTACAAGGTACTTTTATCAATTCTCCCAGACACAGGAAATCTAAGGCATTATTTATGAAGAATGACAGCTGAGTTGTAGAAAACTGAGACAAAAATTGTGGGTTCTACATCTGGGTAGTTCTATTTGTAAATATTTATGTATATTTAAAGAAAATAGCTACAATTAAATGAGAATGAGAATACAATGTAATGGGGACTTGTTTTCCACTGATTTTTGCTTGCAAGTGGGTTTTTTTTCTTTCAATTTTAAAAATTATCCTTTTAAATAAATGAAGATTAAACTAGCTTCTCTGGAAAACTGCTTTCAAATCAAATAATAATTTAAAGTGAAAATTAAATAGAAAAAGATGGCATATTGGTTTGAAGATATTTTTCTTCTGTGACTTCCCTAAAGTTAAATTGTTTGGAATCACAGTAATACAGTCAGAAAATATAGAACTTTTTCTCTCACTGACATTTTTTTCTATAAGTCTTTGCTTGAAGTCTCATGTGCAGGTCAGGCTGATGCTTTAGGTGACTTGGTTAACTTCAAAGCAGCAGAATGCCATTCACATCTAAAATCTGCAATGATTATTTCTCCACCATCCTCTTAAGATTTTTCAGTTTTCAGCAGTGTGTCACCTTCTAACTGCTCTGAGTACTCTTCCCTGTACCTGAAAAAATCTGCTATTCTGTATCTCAGAAGGATGTGTGACTCTAAGAAGTGTGCAATCAGATCATGCACACCAATCCTATGAATGCCATCTTCAAGTCAAACTACCACTTCAAATTTCTGCAGTATAATTACAGATAGTCATTTTATGCTCCAATTTATACATGAAAAACATGTCCTCAAATTGCCTCCTTTGTAGTGTTCTGGTGCCTGCAAACTAAGGAAGGAAAAACATTCCAAGAGTGAGCAAAAATCTTCCAGCTCAAAAGCATCTGTGCCTCTCACCAGTAAATTCTTTCATGGAAAAATGGATGCTATTTCAGTTGTAGCTTCCTACAAACCATTTAGGACTTTGTGCCAAATCAGTATCATCAAGTCTACCATGAAATATTGAAAACCAGTGCAGAAGACACAAGAACTGCTCAAATGCATTCCCAGCATGCAAACCCTTCTGCAAAGCAAGGCATTACAGACCTGCAGTAACATTAAGTGATTCAAAATATTGCCAGTGAAATCTAACATGCTGCACTTTAGCCTTGACATGACCAAGGCATGGTGAATTCCATCAGCTCTGCAGGCCCCCTCTATTAACAAGCAGCTGCTTCCAAAGCCAGCAAGCTCCTCAAATGCCAAAATGAGAAGTGCATGATCTGTCCCACAGCCATTGTGGCCACATGATCTTAATTCTGCTGCACATAACTCAGCCAACCATACACCAAATTTATTAACATCATCCCACTGCTCAATCTAGGTCAGGGCTCAATCAGAATCACATGAAAACAGACCCTCAAAGCAGTCTGAATGTATGCTGAACAGGTTTTCAGGTTATAAAATGCCTGATACTTTCTTCTGCTAATAGTTTATAAATTACTCTCTTAATATAGTTTAATTACTCCAGTAACCTAATGTTCATTGCAAAAAGAAGCCTGGGTCCAAGAGAAAAATAAAATCATAAACTAGAAATGAGAACAATTGTTTTAATAGTCTTCCCCACTTTGCAGCTAGGATTGTGGCATCCCAATTCTAGATCAGTTTTTGAAATTGCATGATGCTTCCCACCTCAGGCTCCCAGAAGCACTGACAAACACACAGCTGCAGAGGCACTAAAAGGAAAGTCTTTTGACATAACTGCAAGCTACAAAATGTAGAGCTTAGGACGAGGAAGATGCTTAAGGTGCTAAGAGAAAAAACATGTACTGTTTTCCTCTTATGAGGAAAAATCATAATCTGGTTTTAGGCAAGAAACCTTTCTCCTCGTCATCAAGGTAGAATCTGAAAAGTGATGGGTCTTAAGTCAAGTAAGGAGATGAGTCCTTGCAGAACAAAGTACATGGTTTAATTTATTATATTGCTAAGCCTTGTACAGCTGTGTATGTAAAGTTCATCTTTTAAAGGCAAACTCAGATCAGTAACTTGCTTAAAAATAATAAGCTTGATGAAAATTTTAAGCCTAAACTATAATTATTTCTCACATATATTAGACCTATTTACAGGTATTAATCATTATTCAACTTTCCATAAGCTACCAGCTTATCTCAATATAAATTTTGTTGAACATCCATATCAAGAACAGCAGTGCCCTATTTACTTGCCCAATACTATTTAATTTGCATGTGCTTAAGCCTGCAAGAGATGCATTTAAACTTTAGCTCAAAACTGGTCAGGTTTCCATGTAAAAGAAATCTGAAAATATATTTTACAAATTCATACATACAATTTTTAGATGTTAAGTCTCCACCAGCATACCTCACAGAGAATTTAAATTAAGACAAAGTTACCCAAAGTCCCTCTGCAAGGATGTTTCTTTCACCATGCAAAACTGCTACAGGTAAATTAAAATACTTGCTCTGAGTTTGTCTCCTGCGAGGGCTGGGTTAGTTTCCTCCAGGGATTGTATGCAGAGTCTATACTGTAGAGGCGCATGTGCATGGCCAGCACGTGAAACAGCTGATCTGAAAGGGGAAGAAGACAGATTGCTCAGTATTACATACAGTGACATGAACTTTTCACATTAAATTGCCATTGTGTATTTTATGAGATTCTGAGGAGCCTGTCACGTCATTCCAAATATTTTTATTAAGGATTGATTTATTTTTTTTTTTAAAGGATTTGAAGAGAAGTAAGATTTCAATAGAAGGCAGTGAACACATGCAGATATACAGAAAAATGTTTCAGAGAAAGGTCATTTAGAAAGCTTTGACCAGATCTCCGTTGTTTTGGTGCTCCATGTTCTTAATTACAGGCCCTTTTAAAAAATCCTGTTTCATATGCTGTTACATTGCCAAGGTTCTGTGCTCACTACACTTCCCTCTCCAGTTTATGCTAGAAGCAGTGATTTCTTGAACAATTACTCTTAACAGAGACTGATACAATTTTAATTTATTTACTTTTGGCTTCCAATCCTCTCTCTCACTGTTAAGTTCTGTGCACCACATATTTGAAATTAAATCTAAAATTGCTACAAGTCCTGGCCTACAGCAGGATCACTTTGGTTCTTCATCTTTAAATGGTTTATTATGCTTTCTGCCTTCATATGGTTATTTTGTAGGTAACTTCTGGACAAAAAAATCCTGAGACCAACAAAAGCCTGATTACACATCAATGACACTAATGCAGCAACAGTCTTTATAATGTCACATATTTGTCTGTACCACCTGCAGGCAGAATTTGCTGATACTCACAATTTCAAAACCTCTGTAGTTCCACTCTATCAAAAATATAATTCGCAAAACACTTGTAGAATTTTTCAAACAGAGGATGCATAATTAGTCATGATGATTTACTGCAGTATTTTACATTATAACGCACATTTTATATTTATCTATGAATCATATGATCACACAAAGACAACATCGAACCCTTCCTTCCATTAAGCCACCCAAGAAGGCAAGCACCACTTAGGTAAAGAGCATTTTCAGAAAAGTACACGCAATAAAGAGCACAGAATGGTTTGAGTTGGAAGGGACCTTTAAAGGTCATCTAGTCAAAGCATCCTGCAATGAGCAGGGATATCTCCAACCAGATCAGGGACTATTCGGGATTCAGACTTCACTTTTTCAATGAATCTTTTTTTATCTTCATAGGTTTATACTGAAATAATTAAAGTATCATTCCCCACAGTTTTGCCTAGTTTTTTCTTCCTGTCACACTCTATCTTCCTATTTGGTGTCATGCTTTTCTCCTGTTCAGTTTTCTAGGACCCTGCTTTCTTTCTCCCTTTCATTTTAACTTTTTCCCTTAGTATCCTGACATCATCTTTCCTCTCCACCCCTTATCCTATCAATTGATCCCTTTGCATATTTCTCTCTAAATCTCTCTACATCTCTTTAAAACCCACTTGCTCAGCCTACACACTTACAGGTCCTCTCTTTCAAGTAGAAATAGCAGCTATTAATTTATTTTCCATAAATAGACAATTACTCAGAGGTACGCAATGGCCAAAAGAGTCGCATGATGCAATCAGCTGACTGCCAGAGCCTGAGGGCTGTAATTAGCTCCTGGGGTTTGTAAAATAATTGGAGCTGTGGATGGCATTGGAATTGATAGCTGCCACCTGCTTTCTGAATAAAAACAGTCAATGAGGACAAAATAAGTCATCTTTTCTCCTGGCAAGAGTTTCTGAGCCAAACACTGCTTTGCTGATAAAGTTGAAAATATAAAATCTGAAAATATACTTGTATTCCATCAAAATAATAAAAAAACCCAAACCCCTCAAGCATGGTTTTATTTGGAATGAAACCCATGAAAATATCTGTGCCTTTTCACTAAAATGAAGGCTTTTTTCTCCCTAAACTATTCCTTGCTTTAAACAGAAACAGGCAACTACGCAAAATGAAAAAAAAAAAAAAATTGAAAATTGTTCAGGGTAATTAATTCATCCCCTATTCCTTTAACAGCTACTCTCCAGAGCTTTTACTAATATGAAATTAAGCAAGCAAGCATCAAATTCTAGCCCTGGAGAATTTATTAGTAATCTCCGAACGTGTAACATTTACAGAATGGGGACACATCGCGGGAGTGCCGGGATCTGCCCAGGAAAGCGCCGCTCCGCAGCCCGGGAAGGCACAGCGCCATTGGGGCCGCCATTGAGGCCGCACGAGCGAGCGGCTCCTCTGGGCCCGGCCTCGCCGCCCCGCAACAGCTCCGGCCGAGGCACACACCGAGCTTCCTTTCTGCCTCACACCACAGTCACTCCAATGGCTTTACTCACCATTTACTGTGACTACGAACTGCTGGAGAAAGCCAAGGGAAACACCAGAGCACTGGGAAGCGAGAACTGGCAACTTAATTGTGCACCAAGTGCTTGGTGCACCAGCACGTCCTTATGCCTGAGGGACTGGCACAAACCTGCCTTGAGCCAGAGGAATACCCGAGGGCTTTTCCTGTGTATTTGTGGAATGCATAACTCCAAAACATAAGCCTAAAAATACTGAATTTCCTCCCATTTACTTATAGCCTACTTGGAACCTTTAAAATACATGTAAGGACCGTTTTTAAACAAGTACCAGCAAAACATTACCATGACAATGGCCCACAAACATCAATCGTGGCTAGTGAAGAGTGGGAAGGGAGGCCATAACCTCACCAGGTATCCCAAAGCCCTCTGGCCCTCACAGTCCATCCTTCCAGCTGATTCTCTCCAGGAGAGCCCACCCTTGTAAGGGGGAAAGGCAGGAAAAAGCTCTGAGTCACCAAAAGATCATTCTTAACCAATTCTTGTAGAAAGAATATTAATTTCAGACAGCGCAGTAGCAACAAAATTTGAAAACATTTAAATACTATCCTCCTCTTCTAACAACCTTGTAATATTTGAGGCAGGCTGCATCCAGATAATTTGAATAAATATAAAAATCACACAATTTGAATGCACAACATAACTCATTGCTGCAAGTCATCAGGGGCTTGGGAGAGTTCTAAAATTTAGATATTTGAATGGGCAAGATTACAACTGTTTTAAAACATGATCATAGACTCGAGTATTGCCTACACTGACGCACTGCTGGCAAACTCTCTCAGCTTATGTCTTTGTTTTCACAGAATATATGTAAAGCTTAAACAACACACCATAGAATCATCCGGATTAGCAGTTAGAACTAGCTTTCAGTCCTATAAGCATTTCTTAATCCATTTCTAAAAATAATGAAAATAACTATTGTTATTTTGTTATTGTCACTGCTGTTCTTGGTAGATTTACTTTTTGGAGTTAATCTATTGTGAGAGAGGAGCAATAAACTCAATTGGAATCTGTACATTCAAAAGAGCAGCTCAATGGATAAGACACTGTCTTTGCACTGAGACTGAAGCTGTTCGAGGAAGCATTGTAATACTGCTCTTCTCACAAACCCCAAAGATAATGGGTATTTTGTCTATATATCCACACTGCACCAGCACTTGCAGCTGCATTCTTTACTGTTTTTAATAATAAAGCAGACTCATTTTACAAATGTTCACAAAGCTCTTAAAAATATTCTGCTGTGTCACAATGCAAAAAGAAGTCCACAAAGGCAGTTTCACAGCCCTTTTCAGTTTTAGTGTGATATGCACAGCACAAAAGATGACTAAATAAATTCAAGACATAAAAAGACAACAATTTTTGAATTGTTGTTGGAATTTGTTGTTGGAATTTCTACCAACAACAATGGTAGAAATTCTAAAAACACTGTGCTCTATTGACAAAAATTAGCAATTCAGGAAGTTGGGTTCAGATTTAAGTTTTGGTCTTGTAATCTTGGTTTGATCTTTGCCGAGCTGATCCCAAATTTCTGTGTAAGTTTTGCTGCCTTTTTTCCTACATGTTTTTTTTCTGGTCTCTTGACTGGTAAAGTAAACTCTCAAATTACCAGAGTTCAAATCAGATGATGTTTTCTGTTATTCATTCCAATTCCACAATGTAGAGCAATGTGCTGTCATAATGAAAACAAACAAAGGAATGAGCTGCCTTTGCCTTACTTGCAATAGTCTAGATAATGTGTTTATACCCCCTCTCTTTATTTTAGGACATATACTGCTGTCATGGAATTTTTTGTCTTGATCCAGATTTCCCTTTTTACATTCTCTAAATTGGCATTCATATTTACAATGTGAAAACATCACAGCAGTTCACTGCAGGTGGAATTGAAAACATCCTTGTCTCAACTGTGAAGATCTTACCAGACCAGGGATTCTTCCCCCTTCTTCTCCCATAGTTTCCTGGGACTATCAAGAAGAATGTAGATTATAACTAAAACCAGTTGATACAGCCAGATGGGACTTGATTGTCAATAAGGAGATTGAGAAATACTTTTCTCCTGGTAGAGATTTACATAGTCCACTTAGCAACAGCAGCTGCAAAGACCTGCTGACAACATCTTCCCATTCATCACTGATCCAGTGGACTTGAATCAGTAAAAAACCATGAAGGTCAGCAAAAGCCTATTAAGGCATTAAGACTGGATAGTCTTTACAAAATCTCTTACATCTTCACTAAGTCTTAATTGCTGATGAAGCAGCTAATTACCCTCTATACCAAACTCACCAGTGTATGACATCAACTTTAGCAACAGAATTCTAACAGTACCTATCCTTGCTTCTCCCACACTACATATTAGTGGCATACCAAGAGTTTTAGAAAATACTTAAGATCATCTGATGGTGAAAAACTGCTTTTTCCAAGTTAGCACGAATGGGCACCAAGGGTCTGCAGACTGACAGCTCCTAACTGAAAAAAAACTCCAAACCAAGCAAAAAATCCAAAAAACCAAATCCTGCAACACCAAAAAGCCTAATCAATGACAGAAACCCGCTGTAGCAAGGCATTCATAAAAACTTATTTTATTCTCTTTATTTTCAGTGGCTGCAGAGAGCTGCACAGGACTCTTTGCAACCATATCCACATCAACAACTATAGGAAAGAGAACAGCTGCAACTCATCTTGAAAATCCTAAAAGAATTGGGTATTTCTCCTAACAGGAAATACTAAGTGGCTCCAAGAGTCACTGTCCATATTGATAAAATGGAGACAGCCATTACTTTCAACATGGTTGAAAAATTTGATACAGAAGAATCATGAAGAGAAACAATGAGTTTCTATGCTCATAAAAACACTAAAAGCACTGATAAAACTAACACCACAATCAACATAAAGGCTTCAAGTGAATGAGAAAAAAAACCAAAACAAACCAACCAAAACAACTCCCATGAAGCAATACTGTTTCTCAATGTTTAGAGCCATTCCAGAAGTTACAGAGGTGCTAGATATCCTACTTAAGAAGAAATTAAACAACTCTTAAATAATTTTTTGATGTCCAGTTGTAAATAATGTCCTTTCCAAGTAAAGCAGTTGATGGTGCAATGCCAGACTGCTGTTTGTGGGGAGCATAAGGATAAGGAGCTCATTTACAGAGAAACTGAAGCCAGAGAACAAGAGGATAAAATATTTAATCTTTACCCAAAACCCTAGTCCTATCCTTCTCACAAAGGGGAAAAAGAAAAAAAAACAACAACAACAAAAAAAAACACCACAAAACACAAACAAAAAACAAACAAACAAAAAAACCAAAACAAACCAAAACACCCCCCCCCCAAAAAAAGAGACTAGATAGACAGAAAGAAAAGTACTATTTCAAAGTTTAAAAAGGAAGATTATAAATTCATTAATATGTAACTTTAAAATGTTGTGGAACTGTTCATCAACTAGTGCAAGATTACCAGAGTACAAATAGCAAAGAAAAACATCTCCATAAGTTAAAGAAAGGTCACAGAATTAGAGAATGCTTAGGGTTGGAATGGACCTTAAAGAGCATCTAATCCCCATCCCCCAGACCCTGCCATATTCCATTAGACCAGGTTGCTCAAGGCCTTTTATAAAAACTGTACAGAGAAATCACAATTATTCAGCCTTAATGCTGAGTTGTGACCCTGTTTGGTAAATACAGAACAATGAAGACAAACAAGTCTATTACACTTTATAAAACAGAGAAATAAGACTTGTACAGTTGTTACATATCATAATTTTCCCTAAACTCATGAGAATTTGCAAGGCCATTGACTCTAAAACTGTAATGTATTCCTTCAAATAGGACTTGATTTTTAAGTAAAAAATAATAGGATACTATGCATTTTTTATTGCACACACATACAAAACTTTAAGCCTTAAAATGGCAATTTTGCAGGCAAATTTTCTTCACCATTCTTCTCACAAACACTTGGTCAGCGATACTAAGAGCTACATTAATCATTCTTAATTTTACTTCCCAAGAGTAGCTGCCCTCATGGTGCAATCTACTTAAACAGCTCTTGACCTATTTGTTCCCACCATCTTCCCTGATCTTTGCTGCTGTAACAGCTCACCTGGGACAACATATTCCATTCCCCACAATATTTAATCACCAAACTTCACAGTTGTTACAAGATTACTACAGAGTGGTATCTGCAGAACCTGGCTGACTAAATTTGCACACAGTGATCCAGAGACGTTCTTTTAACACATGCACTTTTCAGGTACTTTGGTTGGCTGAGAAAGGGGGATAATGATGGTGGAGAAAGACAATGTGCAGTACAGGTTAAAACTACTTTTTAAATTAACAACATAGAAATGAAATTAGTTGGGCAGTAACAGAAGACTTTTGTCCTAGAGGCAATGTGGACAGCATAGTGACAACCTGGTGAGAATTCTTGGGTAGCTTGTCACCTCAAAGGATGAGGAAAGCATCCCCTGGAAATTGTGTACCAAAAGACAGGGATGGGCCTAAGCTTTCTTTTTTCCTATGAAATCTGCTGCTATTGCTACATAAGCTTGACTTAAATAAGCATTAGTAGCAGTAGCAGTATTCTGGCAGGCTTTCCAGTTTTTCCTGACAAAAGAAAATGTCCACTTGTAACTGTTAATATTCCAATAAAAGATTAAAATATTTTCTTTTAAGAAAAAAACACTTCTGGCAGCAAGAAATTGCTTTATTTGACAATAACTAAAGATTTTAGAACAACAAAATTTGAAAGTTGCTATGAAAGAAAATTTGAAATACTTTGTGAAAGAACTAGACAAATTAAAGACATGAGATATTGTAGCTGCATATTTCTAAGTATGACACCAAGTCATGAGCTATATTAGCATTCAGAAAACAAACTTTTTTCCTATTGCTAGCAACAACCAGGGTGAAACAAAGCTTTCCTGCTTCACCCTTAATATACTTCTAGTGTTACTCACAAAAATGCAAACTTGTTAAAAAATATTACATGCATAGTATGACAATAGATTTCTAGATAATTGTACTCACAAGACATGAACAGCTCTAATGAAGAATTTGTGCAAATTATTTTTCAGATTTCTCTAATAGAAACAAAAAATCAAAGACTCCTTATGGCAGAAAAAAATTGGTTTTAGAAGGAAAAAGTTGATGTAATTTAGAAAATACCAGAAAAAACCAGACATCTTTAGTCAATATTTTAATAATTTATCCTGCATTTAATAACATGGAACTTACTTAAACATGATCTTTTCCCAGCTGTGCTCGCACCTCCTGAACACAAATTTCCTCCTCGGTGGACCAGCTCAAGTTCCAAGTTTGTTCTGTAAGAAAAACACAACAGTATTGAATGGAACAACATTATTCAAGCTTCTACAGACACAAATGAATCATGACAAACTCCCAGCACACACTAAATAAAATAATACTGTGAACTAATATTCAGTGTGAAATACTGCCAAAATACAGCTCAGAACAAAACAAACTTTATTAAGATTGTCATATATGGTTTTAAGTACTATATCAACACAGTACTATATTGAGTTGTGAGAGAAAAATTAAAAAGTGTTAATTCTGTGTCTTTCTTCTGTATGCACACACAGCATAATAAGGGAATTTATGTGCAAATCTGGAAAGACAATATACAGATTGGCTAACTTTCAGTCAATCATATATATCTAAAAAACGTTCTCTCCATTGGCAAAGCTTTTGTTTCACTTCAGACAATCAGAGAGTACAATGGATATGGCATCAACTAAATATGAATACAGTTTAAATTATAATTAAAGCACTACCCTTTATAGATAAGTTAGTTAATAAAAGCCTTGGAGGTTAATTCTGAATGAAATGCTATTCACTGCAGCTCATTAGTATGAACCAGTAGTTGTGTCACTGAATCTCTGCACGCCTCACTGATGCTTTCTTTCTCAGCATTACTGTAATTTGATACTTAGGCACCAATTGTTTAGGCCAAATTTGATAATTTTGTTTAATTTTGGAATTGGATATTTCAGTGCTGCATCTTTTACTCTCAAGATTTGGACCAAACAATTTATGTTATATTCTCTGAGAGCCTGTTTTAGTAAGTCAACATACATTTTAAAAATTAGAATAAAGAAATATTATTCTATTATTCAGAAGTGTTGTTTTGCTAATTCAATCCAAACTGCAAATCTCTTTCTAAACATATTTTGTCCTTTAATGAGAAATGAAACAATTTTAGGTTTGATATAATGTGACTGAATTAATATTAAAATCTATTCTAGAATTTTAGGCACATAACATATCCAAGCTAAGAACACCCCTCCCCCACCATTTAAGAAGAAACTAAAGGATTTTTATTCAAAACAAATTATTTTCAAAAATTTCAGCTTCATCAATTTGAAAGAATAATACATTTTGATATGCAGTGTTTGTTAAGATATTTTCCTATGTTTTTAAAATAGCAACATTTCTGAATATTCCTATCCCTAAGTTTGCAGTTTATGCCATCCATTTCTGAAGGAATGCTTTAATCCTCTCTACTCAGAAAAGGCAATTTAACATTGATAATGTGCCTGCTCAGAGCTCCATCTGGTTGCTGCTGATAAGGGCATCTGTGTGACAGGGGAATTTTCCACTCTTCAGGCGATTTGCAGTGCTCACTGAACTTCTGAAAATCTACCAGCAAGGAAGCAGGGACAGGGATTTCATATTAGTGGACAAAATAGCAGCTGTAGATCAGCATATGCTGGTTCATCATGGGAATATGAAGGAAATCAGGATGTTTTATTTCTATGAACATTCTAATAACTAATTTGTAGAACAAAACCAATGACAGTCTTCCATTAAAATGAAGATAATTAAGATTTAAATCAAAAGACTACCTGAATGTTTAAGAATAATTTTCTAGATCTACAATTTTAAATTTCCCTTTCACCAAAGCATATGTGCCATTTCACAAAAAAAACCTCAGGGACAATTCTGAAAAATACCTCTTGCTGTTACATATGAGGTGTCATATAGTACTTTTTAGTGTAAGGAGTGTAAGGAAAGTTATTTCTGTAATCACATACTCTGTTCACATACACGATACCAACTCTCACCTCCCACACTTCTTCACTGTCCTCAGCCTTCAAAGGCAGCACCCTATAGCTCAGCTTTCTTGGAAATGTAAGTATTAACCTTTTCCTTCAATAAGTCTCTTTGAAAACATATCTGTAACTTGGCATAAAAATGCAGAGTAGAAAAAGCATCTTCTGTGAAAATGAACACTGATCCTTCAGAAAATATCCTACATCAGGTACAGACCTCAATCATTTTTGAAGGAGACCAGTGCATCTCCTCCCTAATTTGAGCTCCCTTCTGCCGTGAAGATTTGTGTATCCTCTGCCCTTTACTGAAGAAAAGTAATGAAGAAAAACTGGGGGCATCTGATAGAAGTGTGGAACACAGAGAGGTCTCTGAAAGAATCCTTTAGTATCTCAGAATTCTCAACATAAAGGATAGAGAATGAGAAAGAAAATCTATATAAGTGTCTTCTTTTCCTATCTAGAAATCTCAGCGTCATTCATTGCAGCAAAACATTGTGTAGGACACTGCCTTTATCCTCCTCACTCACAGAAAAAACCCTGAGAAAATGGATTTCTCTCAGCTGTCCTGACTCCTGATTAAAAGCAGACCTACTTCATCCCTTCCTGGGGGCTTTTGTTAAAGGAACATACTGGGGGTGGGAAGGGTGATTTCATATTTCTGGGAATTCATACAAGACAGAGTAGAGGGAAGTAAAAATGCAACATCCTTTCCAGAAAGGGAATATATTTGGATGGACTTGCTCTTCCTATTGGGACTATCATTTTTCTCACTTCAATTTACAAACACAACACATAGAAGGAAAAACCCCAGATACTGAGTCACAGACTCAGAAGGAAAGAACACATGGCTCTTACATTTGTCTATACATAGCTGACAGAAAAGCCAAAAGGTTTGTTTGCACAGCCAACAAAAGCATGAAACCTACTGCTGTGCAATACATAAACAATCCTCCAAGACACCATCACAAATCACAGTCTTCAATGCTTTGAATGTGGAACTATTTAAATTAAAGCTAGGCACACGTGATTTGGGAATGACACCTACACTCATCTCATAAATGTCAGCACAGACAAAGAGAAATGCATGAAAAGGGTCCAAATGTAACAAGATATGACTCTTGGAAAAGCAGGAGGTAGCCAAGGAGCTGCTGTTCCAGTTGTGCATGCAAATCAGGATGCCAGACTGAGAATGCCTCTTTTGCTAGGAAAGCAGGCAGCAGCTAGCCCTCCCACAAGGTGGTAAAGAGTTCTTTTGTAATTTTTATACTCTGCTACCGGTGACATATACCTGGGTAAGCAAAAATGAAGAAAAGTAAGTTCCTTTTTTCCTGAAGGACAAAGAATAACCTGCAGCAACTGGCTACGTATTGTTTAACATTCCCATTCCAGCATACAGTAATCCACTGCAAAGCTGGCATTCAGCTGTAAACCAGCATCTTTTAGGACAGGAGATGATATCATTTTCTGATTGAAAATGGAACATGACTTGTAAGAAGATTAAGAGTGTTTAATTCACATGAAAATATATGGAGTTAATAAAAATCTAATTGTATTCAAATTGCATTGTATTCAAATATTCATCTAAGCAAAGGTTAAATATCAGGAAAAACTGTGAAACAGCTGTAGATGGTCTAACCAAAACCAGTTAAATGCTTCAGAACACCTGGAGCTAGAAATGCTCAAAGGTTACTGGTTGGTAAGGAACACAAGGGTATCATTACCTCAAGAAAAACTCTGGATGGAAATAAGGAAGAAACAGGTAGAATGACAGGAATCGTTTACAGAAAGTAAAATTACTTCAGTATGTAATTTTAATTGTGGATAGTCCATTGTTTGATTACTTAAAATTAAATGCATAATAAAATCATACAAAGCAAACTCTTCCAGTTTGGAAGATGATGTACAGATTTATTTCCATAAATACAAACTGTAAAGTTATATTAAAATATCTTTTTAAAAGTTTAATTTTTTAACTCTGTAGTTCTTATGCAATTATCAAGTAGTAGAAGCATGTAAATCTGGATTGCTGCACTGAAAAGCAAGACAAGTTAACCACCTTGAAGCTGATCTGCCAGGCTCCCTCATAAGTGATCTTATGAGTTATAGTAACAACACAGAAGGCTGGATCCAACACCTGAAATTCCTCAAACTGTATAAATGGAAAATTGGTGACACAAGTGTGACCCTAACAGGAAGAGGTCACAAGGAGTACAAGTGACATATCCTAATCTTAGTGGTCAGCCATGATTTCTCCCTCCAGCAGTGCAAGCAGCCAAGAAAAGCGGCTCTGGTTTGAGGTATTTTTAACTCTTTTAATGAAGACAAATTCTGAGCTCTGTGTGTAAATATAAAAGCAACACATAGATACATTTAAAATATGTTTAGCTAGCATTTTAAAAGTTATATGACATTGCACCCAGAAATGTATTTTAACACCATTTCTGTATCTTAAATGGCTGTCAAGTTATGGTTATAAGTAATCATACTTTGATATGCGAAATATTCGTTTTGAGTCCTTTGTGTTTTTGGAAGCGTATTTAATTGTATTGATCAAACACGTAATTGCTAAAATCCCAACATTACTTATCCTTGTCTAGCATACACCACTTAAAAATACAGAATAATCTTTTAACTTGCTGTGTATAGAATTTCATAGCTCTTCTGTATCAGTTAAAATACTCTGAAAGAATGCAGATAGTATTTATTTCAGCAGAAGAATATAATGATCTGTGTTGGAGGAGAATTCTAGAGATTAGATGGCCTAACCTCCTGTGAAAAGCAGAACCTTACTGAGTCCTGCTGAGTGGAACTTCCGAGTGCTGCTGAGCCAAGCCTTGAATATTTCCACTGCTTATGTACTACAGACACTCAGCAATGAGAGTTTATGAAACTGCAATTAAAAAATGTTACTCAATGGCATCACTCCTATGCTTGCAGTTTCTCTGCAGTCAGCACTTTCCCTGCAGGCTTCACTAAGCCAGAGTTTAGAAAATTATTTGCTTAGTAAGTATATCAAGTTCTTATGGGAAAACCTGGTATTACAGTAACTCTGAATAGATTAACCATTCAGACTACGTTAACATGAATGGTATAGAACGAGGGGCTGATTTTCTTGGACAGCATATGTGACACTGACAGCTCTAAAACTACAATCAAACATCACCAAAAAAACACTGCTGGTTTTGACAGTTTTTTAGCAGTCTAAAGACTATATGAAGAGAAATTCCTGGTTATTGATGTAATAAAAAAGCTCTTTCTGTGATCTTCTTTTAAGTGAATAAAACTAATGTGTGACAGAGAGATAAAACACATCTTGTGATTTAAAAAACTAGCAATATGGCAGTGATACAGGAAAAAATCTCATTCTGTAGAAGACAGATAAAGTCGATTTGACAATTTGGGAAATGAAAGCCAAACAAGAAATGCAACATAAAATTTTGATTTATGGAAAGCAAAACCTTGAATTAAGAAGAAAACTAAATAAGCATAGGACAAAGTTCTCTGGGTTTTGTGCCACTGCTACACATAGTAAAAATGAACCGGGAGATTCATCTTGCATAATGCCTGTATATGAAATTCAGAAAATGTAACCTTGATGTACTGAGTATGCAAAAAGTCCTTTTTGGAGAGGATGAAATATTTTTAAATGCCTTTTTTTTAAAGAAGAAAGCTATCTAGTGACTAATATCATTAGTGAGAAATACAAAAGAAAAGATACAAAAAGAAAACATACCCACCTGGCTACAGAATACATAAACAGGAAATCATTGTCAGGTGATCCAGGAGTCTTACTATAATCTGTATACTTCTTCTGTGTGGTACTTTTTATATCTTTCATTACAGATTCCATTTCTTTACTGAGATTGGTTTCAGACTATGAACAAAGACACAAAAGAAGATTAGTTAATTTTACCTGAAGAAATGCAGTAGCTGATTATAAAGTGTAGCACTTTCATATTTGTAAAACACATTTGCAGGTTATGAAAAAGTGTGCATTCACAGAAGTGTCAGGATATTTTGGATAGTGATTTTGATTTGTTCTGAATATGAAAACATAACTGGTTTTTCCATCTCCTAAGTTTAAGAATCTCAGTGCTTGTGCTATTTTAAAGTATATTTGCACTGTACAGGTACACAAAAACACAGAGCATCTCGTTGAGACTTGAAGGTAACAAAATTTAATATAATTTATTCTGTCATTCAGAGGACCTCACGAAGCTTTGCAAAACATGAGCATCTGCAAATTGTTCTTTCTGTAAAATGAATAATCCATACCTTACAAAGTTCTTAAGAGACATAGTTTAAATAGCTTCCAGTTATGAGACTATTGCTGTTTTTTCATTGCATGAAAATTACAAATATATTTTATATTACATGACTTTGTTCTATGTAAATTACTATGGAGAAAACTGAAAATGTACCCAATAAAAAATTATATTAATCCATATATTAAATTATATTTGTCACAGCTTTCAACTGTTTATTTTTAGTAGGTAATGCAGCAAACGCTCTGAGTTTCTTGATAAGAAAATAATAGTATGTTGCCTTCAATATCAGAAGAAAACGAACTTTCCGAGGTTGCCAGGATTCTAAGAGATCACAAATGCAATATAATATAAAAACCGAAAGGTAGAGGCAAATTAACAAGGATCTTTCTGCCTTACACTGATGCTTACTGGGAAAGTTCCCAGCTGTTCTTGAAGCTCTTCCACCTCTTGCACAAGATCTTGCAAACACTTGTTACTGTGACTTTGCCAAATGCTTCTTTCCATGTTGTTTCCAGGATAACAAGGAAGAACGCTGTTGGCAAACTGCCTACACAGGGGACAGGTAAATTCTCCTTTGTCCACTGAAAAACCCTGGAGGACTTGGTCATTCTAAAAGGAAATAAAAGAGATGGAGCTGAAATTTGTAAATGATTATTGGTTTTTAGCTTGGTATTTCAGGTGTATACTGAAAAAAACTAAGTCTAAGACCTAAAACTGTAAAGAAAGAATAATTAGAATAGTTACCCATTTTTCTGACAAAAGTCTTAGCTACTAGAGACTGTCTTACAATTCTCCAACTCAATTTTCCTGATTTTTAAGCACTCTCCATTGTCAACAATATCCCCATAATAAAGTAGAAAGTCTTCAATGGAGTATTTCCAAGATTTCAAGTGTGCTGTCTCTTTCTGACAATTCCCATGAAGTTTGAGACTCCAAGTACAGGCTGAAAAAAGCCTAATCAGGTAGCCATTGGCAGGCAGCATGAAAAGGACCCTGATTATTTCTTCTATCACATGAAGGATGAAAGAATGGGCACAGAAGTACACATTTGGAAACTGAGGACATATCCTCAGTGCTCCTGTAAACTGGCAAGAAATCTTGCTTCAGCTTCATGAATTGCCTCCGTGGTTTCCCATGTTGGTATCTAACTGTATTATGTAAAAATAAATGTTTTATCCAGATGAACACAGGTCTATATAAATTATTTCAGTCCTAAAAATGGTAGTAAATAGTCAAAATTATTATGCACTCATCTGTGTATTAGTAAAACATGCTAGGATCAGAAGTTCACTTAAATAATCTAGAATCTTCAAGAATACAATTACATGGAGTAACGGTTTATTTCAATTTTAATAGAGAATCCACCAAAAAAATGACTTCAGAATTTACATGGTGCAAAAAACACTTTTCCAAAATTCTGTAAAGTGAGACTCTACCATGAAAGTCCAGATTTTGCTGCTGTATTCTTTATGTGATTTTTGTGTTATTTTATATTTATCTTGATGATACAATTACTGCTACAAGCAAATTGAAATTAATATGGAAAAGAATTCATCATGGGATCCAAGTTGGCACACCTTCTAGTTCTTTAGAGGTTAAGTTTCACACAGTAGGAGCAAGGCTGATACTAAAAATACAAGAAATTGCTCACAGTCTTTCTCAAAATGAAAAGAAATCAACAAAAATTACAAAAAAATCCAAAACCGGAAAAACAAACTAACGAAAACCACAAACACCCTCCTCCACCAACCATCTTCCTCCAAACAAACAAAACCTCACCAAAAGACCCACCAAACCCAAAACCCGAAGAAATATCCTGTAAAGTAATCTTGAACAAAATGCAGGTTCATATGAAACAAGAAGTCATCACTTAGTCTTTATTTTTTGTGCTGGATAATTCTGCACAAGATTTCTTCTGATACATCAGAATAACAGAAAACAAAATACTTTTGTTAATAATGCCAAGATGCCATAAGAGATTAAGTTCTCAAAACATAATGAAACTAATCTGTACAGACATACAAAACATGGGATTGAATTGATTTAAACAGCATAAATCCAACTGATTTCAGTAAAAGCAGTTCAGATCCAAATAAACAACTATGAGCCTCAGTTTTACTTACCCGTAAGGATTCCATGTAAGATTTGTGACAATCTATGTGTAAAGTGTGACCACAGGTTTGTACATAAACACCTCCTTCCCAGCCTATTGACACTGCTTGTAGGCAGGAACTCTAAAGCAAAGCAACAACAGGAAGAAAAAAACAACAACTACAATATATAAAGCTATAAAAGTATTTATTAAAATATCAAGATTTACAAGATGGACAGATTTCTATTTGCATGCTACCTAATTAAAGATATCCTGAGGAAATAAAGAAAAAAAGAATTTATAAAAAGTGTTTAGTTATGCTGACTGACATGGCAGCTCTTATGCTATTCTTTCCAATAGTTGAACTTCTGCAGTTCTTGTCAGTTAAGATAACTGCTTTAAGGAATCTCTTGTATTACTGCATGAAGGTGGGTCTAACTCCAACAGCTGTTCCAATAGCAGAAGTGATCCCATTTACAAGGGCAATATACTGTTCCAACACATTTCATTCAGTTTTGTAGATAACCAAGATAACAATACCATAGTTATTTAATTAAACCACAATCTCTTATTAAAATTAATTGTAAACACTTAGGGGTTTTAATGAGTTGTTGAACAGCATCATATAGAACTCATCATAACTGGAAAAGATAACAAATACTTGTTTAGGGAGCTCAGTTGTATAGTAGGTTTGTTTTAAAAACATTTGCCTTATTGGAAGACTGCACTTACAGCCCACAAATCCAAAAAAGTCAATCCACTGCTATTTTTTTCCAGAAAATAATGATCTGAAGAAACAATCATATCTGGCAAATTTACAAAAAATTCTCAAAAATTCTCTCGCAGAATATCAAACTTTTTGCTTAGGTCTTTCAGAATTTCACTTTCTAGCAAGGAAATGCATGATATTTTCCTTAGAATAAGATGCTTTCTGAAAAAATTGACCAATTTTTAGGACTGTATCAAAACAATTATGAATTTTACTCTACATTAATCTACATAAGCGAGCTTGGCTGCAGTTGGCAAATTTTAATTATCTGTGGATGTGATTATGAAAAAGCTAGCAACTGTGTTAGAATAAAAATTGCCAGTTTTTCCACTTTAAAGACAATCTTTAAGCTTCTAAAGGCTCATTATTTAGTTAGATACATTGAAAAGCTGGCATGTCACCTAGGACTAGTCTACAGAAGCTAATTTAGGACCACAGGTTCCATATTATTCTCCCTGAAAATGATTTCTCAGAGCAGTTGTGTATTATCTTACATAGCTCTTTTAGGCACTAGCAAGGGAAGTCACTAAGGTCTACAATTGAATATGTCCTGCTAAGCAACAAGAATTGGTTCTCAAAATTAAATGGGAAAAGCTGTAACTTGGCTTTGTGAAGTGGTGTAAAACTGTTTGGAACAGAACAGAACTACAAAGCAGACATCTACTATCAATTAATATAAAACTGAATTTCAGATGTTGTGTAGAGTTGAGGATTCAAAAGAGGATGCATTCTACTGGTTTCTCCTTCCCATCCACTCATACTCCCCTTCTCTGTAGTGCTCAGAAACCTGTTACAGATTAAAACAACTCTTTCCACTTACTCTGCACTTCCAAAATACTTTTACCTGATTAAGAACAATTCCTTGACTGGGTTTTCTGAATAGCTACAAGACAACTGGTGTTTGCTTAGACAGTGAACCCAAATTTCAATTGTGTGGTCACACTGGAGTGTGAAATACCTTCTTCTAGAGAGTATCTGTGTGGCTGTTTAATGACTGTGTAGCTGTAGATACACTAGATGCCTCCTGACAAAAATATAATGGGAGAAAGCCAGAAACTATTTAAAAATAAGGAGCCTATCAAATGTAAACACTTCAGAATGACTGCAGCATGAAAAAGCATTTGCTAAATGTAGACATGAAACTAGGAGAGCTCTAAGTTGCAATTTCAATTCTATTTTACATACAGTTGTGGTTAAGTGCCAGCCTAGGTGCCATGCAATGCTTACATCTTTGAAGTAGCGCTGCAGCGTGGTCAGCCTGACGTCATGCAGCGCGGCACAGGTGTCCCAGGGATAGATCTGCTCCTCTTCAGTCGTGGGGAGCCTCCTGGGCTCCGTGCTATTGCGGCACTGCCCCAGCACTGCCACGGGAGAGGGAACACACAGGGTAACAACAGCCTGAGCAACTCACAAAACAATCAGGCCATTTTGGCTTGCAGCTATACTGTGCCTCGTTGATGTTAAAAAGTAAAAACCTACTAAAGGATCTAAAGACTGAAAGTTGTTCTTTTGCACTTGTACATAATATATATATACATATATATATACACATACACACAAACACCTATATCCACTAACATTCATATCTACATGCAGATACACTGATGGCTGTTTAATTTCCTTTCCTTCCAAGAGTGATTTTCCTGCAGGTCTGTAATGTACTTCTGCATTTGCAAAAGCTAATAGAAAGTAGGAAGGAATTAAATAATTTGTTCTTCCCCCAAACTTTTAAAAAGTTCCTTATGTGTCTCACAGAGGACCATCCACAAAAAAAAAAAAAATAGGAAACCCAGTGCTTCCAGACTTCATGAGGCACAACAGGATTTATGCACACATGCTAAAACCTGCAAAAACACTGCTTTTGCTACAAGCCACACATTCATACCTGAGGATGCCTGTAATAGTACAACTAGCCCTGTAGGTCTGTCTTCAGTAGAAGGGCCACTTTGTCCACAAATAACACAGTCATATATTGCCTCAGAAACATGCTGTTCAGATGTAGCTACCTCCATGGCAATGTCAGCATCTGGTGATTCTAAAAACAAATTAAAAAAATTATATCAAACAGAAGTAAAGAAATCCAATTGAGGATTTCCATCTAAGGATGTCCAACCCATCTGCATTGAGGTAGTGATGAAAAAACTACAAAATAATTTCTCTAGTTTATCTACAACTAAAACATTGTCAGTTGCTTGAAACAAACCTTTCTGCTTCCAAGAAAGACACTTACAAAATGAAGTACATGTTTTTTCATAGGCAAAATTACTCCCTGTGGAATTAAATGCTTTATTTGAGTTTCGTATTAAACTTGATCTCTTATCTCTTCTATAAAACAGAGATCTAACTTCTATCTCATTAGATATACTGAAAACTTTGAACATAGAGAGATGAAGGACAACAATATCACTCTCTAGTAAAACCAGATTAGCTGACTGAAGCAACCATTGGAAGGAAAAATGTCTCTGTTTTCTTCATGGTCCACATTGCTCCTTCCTAGGTGCACAGAAATGTTCAAGGCTAAGGCTCAGCTCTGAAGTATCAAAGCCACTGCACTTCACACAGCTTCGATCACATGACAGCAGGTGGTGCTGATTTCAGGGCAAACCAATTTATGTTATGTTACAATCAAAGTGAAGAATTCTTTATTGATTTGAAAGAAAAGCACCTTAGGACTAAATGATCCGCTCCTGCTGCACATACAGTGAGCCTCTTGACCTCAAATATGTGGGTTCTTTGTGTCTTTCCTAGGACAAAATTTTTCTAAAGGAAAACACTTCCTCCCTAACTTCCACCATACCCTTTATCCCTCTGATTAAGTAGCCTGAAGTACTGAATAAAGAATCCAAAACCTTGAGTACAGCAACAGTCCTCATGCAGAATTGTTTTTAGGAGAACTGCTGTCTTCTGAAAGTCTACTACAAGTTTGGCACAGGAGGCTGCTGCCATAAGGAGAGGCGTGTTGGGTGCCAGGCAGAATATTTCTTTGCTATAAAAAGCTCCATGCAATGCTCTTGCTCATAGGGCTAAATCAAAATTACACTGTTCTAGTAAGTACTGATTTCCTAGTCAGTTATTGAGGGTCATATGAAAATGAGCCCTGATCTTCACTGGTGTGCAGTTGTTAATATTGTACACATGTCTATCACCATCTAGTGGCAGCCAGCTGTACAGTGAAATAAAAAGCACAATGCATCAATTGCAAATGTCCAAAACATCCAGGAGACTTAGAAGCAAATGGTAGCAGAGAAGGGAGCATAAAATTGCATAAAAAATGCTGGTTTTTATATTGAACATCACCTCATAATTGTGTAATGCACAATCACGTACACCTATGTATCAAATGCAAGAAATGGCAAGGACTAGAGTTCCAGGGGTTTTTTTCTCTCCTTTTCTAAAATATTGTCAATGCAACAGAAAATATGCAACCATTCAATATTTTTCAGAAGCGTAGAAAGAGAATACAATGTATCAATCTGACTTAGAGCAATTCAATGGAAGTCATCAGAATCTGTCAATATTTAATTTACAAAATACCATTAATTCATCACAAATTGCCTGTTGAGGAAAAAAAACCCCAGAACTTAGGATTTAAAAGATGTTTAAAATCAGTTCAATATATGCAATTTATACTTTTATTGCCTATGGGGAACAGGCACATAAAAATCAGGCTAATTTAATTTTAGAACTCAATGATTAAGTGCATGCTTCCTTCACAACTACTTAGATGTGGATGTAGCTAGGCTATTCTGGTAAACAATAAACTTCCAAGGAAAGTAAGCTACTAGCACCAAGGAAGACTTCCTAATAAAGTAAGTTGCACCTGAGCTAGTAAAAGAAAACAAAGGGATATTGGCAAGAAATTTAAATCTCAAATAAGTAGGCATACCAGAAAAACTGTAACCAAACAAAACTCCTCACTTCTTTTGAATGGACTCTGATAAACCCCAATTACTCACTTCAACTAGCTCCAAAGATTTAACCTAATTGTTTCACAGACTTGCCCTAACGATGGCAGTGTGTAAAGAAGGAGCCAAGGAAAAAGACAAGGTAAGACACATGGTACTGCTATCAGTTCACCAAGTTTCTGTCATGAGATTTGTCTTATGTTGTAGTTTACCTCATCCCCTTTCAGTGGGTTCTGGAACTTTTCTTTGTCCTTAGGAATTATTTCACAAATCTGAATAAATATGAACCTTAAAACACTGAAGGAAATTTAAACTGTGACAGAAATCCAGGGAAGAGCCAAACCCTGTAGCTCCCAAGAGTTTTTTAAAAGTTAATAATTTAGCTCTTTGTTTAGTTTTGTACCAATAGAAGTAGAGACACAAAGCTACAAAAACCTAGCACTTCCTACCTCCTAACAAATTACTGATCAAATCTGCTAACAACCAGCACATTGATGTACTGCAGAATGCACTGCTACCTGAATTTAATTTCATTTCTACTCTCCAGAGCTAAGGATGCATTCTGTTATTTCCTCCACCTAGCAAAGCCCCCAAACCAAAAGGGGTTTGTAAACACAGTACATATAGTTCAAAATCTCCACTGACTGTAGTCAACATTTGTCCTGCTGCACACATTGTGTCAAAGAGGCCCCTGGGTATCAGAGCAACCATTAGTATGCTAATATTCTTTGCCCTGACCCAGCATATACATTCTCAAGAGATCAGTACCTAATTTATTTTTCTATCTGGGTTCAGAAGATTGAGTGTTAGGAAATATATGTCACCTTGCATTAAGCCTCTGAGCTTCTTTATAAGTCTAACTAAGGAATGTTTCATGAAGGACAAAATGGCGTCCTGCTAAGACACACATTGTAAGAAAGACAGAAAAGATCATCTGCATACTGATTAGGATGCATTAAAAAAGCTTAAAAATCACACCAGCCACTTCAGAGATGCAAAAACTATTGAAATCAATCTTAGCATTTATAATTAACAACTGAGCCAATTTACAATTTTTCAGTACAATAAGTAGTTCAGCAGCTTGCCTGGAACAAATCGTATTTTGTTTTTATAGACTTCAGATAGACAAATCTTCACAAATATAACTGTAATTTGTTAAAGGCTACTATTAAGCTAGAACTGAGTGGTTTAGTTTTGTTTTTATCAAGTCCCTTCTGAAGGTTATGAAGGTTTAAAAATCTCTTGCACAGAGTTCCACAACACAAGATAAACCATGGTCTCACCCTGGGGCAGTGCTGGTGAAGCTCAGAGGAGCTGTAACCAGGAGCTATAACCAGGAGCAGGAAGACATCTGGAGCTGAAACCAACACCACACTTTTGACTCTCTGGACAGTCCCCCAGACACATTAAGAGCTCTATCTGCTGTTTTTAGAACACTTTGCTTGGTTTATTTTTCTCCCTTTTTTGTTTATCGTGCAGTCAAACAGCTAAAGACAGCACAGTGGATGCTGTTCTATCCTAGTTCATTAACATAACTGTTTCTAAATTTCACCTAATTACTTCCAGGCAAGCTTGAATGGCAATGCAGTTCTGCAGATGTCACAGAATATAAATAGAAAGTAACAGGGGGCACAAATGGAAAGTGCTACATAATTGGATTTTTTTTTACAGTAACTATGTGAAAGAAAATGCCAACCTTTATTTTCAGAATCTCAGATGAATTTGTCTATATCAATTCAAATAAATAAATTCTACTAGTAAAATGAGACACATTTAATATTGAATAATTAACATGTAATTAGGTAACTTCCTTTTAAGCCATGTTTCATTGCAGCATCCCAACAATCAAAGAGGAATACCTCAGGGGATTAACAGTGCCTCTGTGCACTTTATTAAACACTTTAGACATGAAGAAGTATATGGGTTATAATAAAATAACCTTTAAGCTTTGGCTATTCTCCATTATTCCTATCTCTTCCTAGGCACATTTCAGAGTATTTCCAATCTTCTACACTGTCAATAGAAGGTATTATGAAGTTTTTAAGTGCTATACCCCAAACCAATTACAACATTTTACCAGTCATAATAATATAAATTTGCCCAAATGACACCAACTGAAACAGTCACAAAACAAGGGAGCTGAGGCCTCACCATCCCTGCATTTTTGACAGTTTTACTGTTACAACAAGTGAACAAAATAAGACAAACCTACTGCTGGGCTTCAATCTATAAGAAAAGTAACAGGTAACAAACTGTGTGAGAGGGGAGTGAATTCCTACTGATTTTAGTATGAAAGGATTTTTTTCTTTCTAACAGCTATTTCAGCACTGTTAGGCTATGACTCAAAACTACTCTTACGAATTACATAAGAGTAGTTTTGGATTGAATCATTCAAAAAAGACTAGTTTCAAAATTCTTACTGTGTTTTGTGCTTCAAAATTACAATAACAATAGTTTCTGCAACATTTTCAGTCATTTTCTGTATCATATAGAGATTGAATTCACAGCTAAACAAACCACTTAGATTCAACAAACTGAAGAAAATATTCCTAGCAAGACTTAATCTAGATTTTTAAACAAACCCCAGGCACTATGTAATTGTATATGAACTTACTTTCTGAGAGCTATTCTAATGCCAGTCAGAACATAAAAGCTAGTACTGGACTATAGTACTACTTCAGTGTATTTTCATAACAAAGCCAGAAAATGGAATGACAACATAGAAGACACTGAAAACAATTAGTGGAAAAGCAAAGTAATTATTAGCTAACACAATGCCTGGAATTCTTTTAAGTTGTTGCCAAATGTCTTTATGAAGAATTAACTTTATGAAAATGTAGTTCATTGAGCTGATTCCATCTTAGTGCTGTGCATGATCTGGTATAACTGACAGCAAACACTACATTTTACATTAAGGCATCTGGAGTTACTAATTCTTTAAATACTAAGAAGCAAGTGATTTAAATCTTGCATGCCAAAGAACTTTTTAATGCATAATCATAAAAATAAAGCCCAGGTCTACCTACCTGAGAATTTAATATGAATTAACTAAAAGCTAAGTATTCACAGTCCTTCACAAAAAAAATGCTATGTAATTTACTGATTTAGCTACCATGATTCATCCACAAATCAAAGCAGTACATAGCTTATAAAATCTGTGCATGGAAGGAATTACACACATTTATGCATATATGCAAATACAGCTATATAGCTATTGACAGGTACATTTACATCCATATATATATATAAATAGGTAGGTAGGTAGATTTATCAATACAGATCTGATTTCATATATAAATCCCACCAATTTCAAAGTTGAGATATGATAAATTCAAAATATAAGTGACTGAAGATTCGAAGTTTCCAGCTACTTTCCATATAAAAACTTAATTTTTAATAAGGAGAACTGCAAGGTTCTTCTTCCTTACTTCAACAATTGGATTACAAATAAATAGCTGCCATTTAGTGAGGTTGACTTACAATACAAAGTTCACAGATGAAAATTAGAGTATTGCACACCCTCCAAACATAACATCATATATAGAGTGATTAATTTCATAGAATATTAGTAATTTTGGTTTGGACAGAATCTTAAAGATCATCAAGTTCCAACCCTCCTGCTGTGGGCAGGAACATCTTCCACTAGAGCAGGTTGCTCAGAGCCCCATTTAAGTTTGCTAAGGTATCCAAAACCTTAGTAAGTATAAATGAATCAATCTTCTCAGCAACCTATGAACTGAAGGGAATTTAACAATTTCAAGAGACAGACTTTTTCAGCAAATACAGTTGTCAAAATATTTCTAACCAATGCTGAAATTCAAATGAAAACTTCACAGCAGATGACACTTGATGGAAGGTCTGGGAAGATTCCAGCTTTTACTTATCTTTCAGAAGTGCTAATTTTCTTTGAAGTGACCCAAATGACAAAAATATTTTCCATTCCTCGGCTGAACACAAACTAATCAGGATTATGCACTTCTACACAGGAGAATCTGAGAGAACTCACCCTCAACAAAAACAAGACCTGATTGTGTGTAAAGACAGCGTTTGAAATAGTATACAACATTATCACTTATAGCATATAGATCACTGAGGTGATCTAAAAAATTATGTTTTCCTTAGATCCATAAACACATTTAAAAGCAAAAATTTTCACCATATTGAACTTTGAGGCTCTATGTAGAAATAATCTTAAATTTTATTACTACAGATTAAAGAAAAATACAATCTTAAAAAGACAAACTCATTTGCGGACATTTTATATTAAATGTAAATACTTTAAAACATATCACGTATTTAATAATTTCATGTACTGTATATTAACAAAAACTAGGAATAAATGTATGTCCTACAGATTTAATCTATTTTTTAGCAATTATGTATTTAGCAATATCTGTCCTATAATCAAAGTTAGGCTCCCTAAGTGTAAAGTTAACGAGTGGATACAAAAGCAGAATCTGAGGGAGGATTTCCTGTTTGGTAGGATGATTGGGGGTTTTTTTGTGTGTGTCTTTGTTTTTTAAACTGAGTAGAAACCTTAATACTAACATGTGGGAAAAGACATAAAAGCAAGCAGTTAACCACACAAAACCTTACCAACATCCATGGCAGTTTCCATGAAGCTTTTCTGCCTCGAGGCAAATTCAGCCAACAGTTTCTGTTGCCTTTCTCTGGCCTTCTGTCGTCTGTGTGAAGGAAGGGGGAAGAAGAAAAATAAACATGGAGCAAAAAAACCCCTTGAAAATGTCAAGTTGATTACAATTACCACCTTAAACAGTATCATTCCAAATGAAGGTTGATATTAAGGGATAATTACCAAGCCTAAAAAAAGATTCTTTTGCTTTTCTAAAGCAGAGTTTTTAGAGAAATTAGTGTTACTTTCTTTTGAGTCTGAAAAAAACTGAATAAAATCCTGTCCTGAAACACCCTTCAAAGGTGTTCACCACAAGATCTTTTAACAAATTAGGCCATACCATCACAAGAAAAGGAACTCAATACCTTAATCATGAAATTTTTTTATCTGTTCCATATGGGATGAAAACCAGAGAGCAATGTCATTTGTACAAAAATTAGTACTTCTGTGAGAAATCAACATTTGCAAGTTAATAATAACAGCAATAATAAAAGCCTACTTCGCTCCCTTTTGATATCAAGCTTTTGATGGCACAGGAAACAATTATGCATAATTTATTTTCCAGCTAAGCCTCCTCACAGTGGTTCCTTCTCCCCCACTTCCACCCAAAATACTGGCCACCAACAGCTTTTATACTGGGATTTAAAGAACCTTGAGATTGCATCCAGATTAAAGCCCTTATCTCCCTGAGGCCAAGCTGACTTCACTAACTTCTCCTCATTGTTTGTCACAGCTCTGGACTTAGAAATGAAAAACACCAGAGGCTTACACTTGTCTATTCTTCTGTTTAAAATGTTTCAGTGACCTGTACAAGGCTGTATGACCAGTTCTATAACTCCCTATATAAATACATACTGCAGTGGGTACAGGAATATTGATGGATGTAAAACGATAAAGAAAACAGACATTAATTTTCCTTACTTTGACATGAGTTTACAGATAGAGGAAAAGGGAGTGTGGAAGTGAGAAAACCAAACAAAAGCCCTAAAGCACAACTGCTCACCACACAAAAAATGTCCTCAGCTGAGGGGGTTACACAGCACCTCCTCAGTGCAGCTACAGAAGTTCTATCATAGCTACAAATTCTGTGCACCAGCATTTACAATGCATTTTTTCCAGTGCTCAGAGATGATTCAGATAACTAACATGGGCTTTAGAAATATCATTTGGTGTCTGATACCCTGATGGGTGAGTGCTCTTAAGTCTCAAGCACTGTGTGATTATCAGTGTCCTGCACAGGAGCTGGCATGCACAGGCCCAAAGCAGCTCACAGAGTGTAACCTGTCATCCTGAGGGGACTTGTTTGTAAGTGAAAGCTTCTAATTTGTTTTCCTAAAGGCACCTGAAAGACCCCAATATCTCTGCCCATTTGTCTGCTACATTTTGCAGTCACCATTTCTCAAAATAACTTCTACTTACGACATCACTAAGATTCATTATTCTGAGGATCAGACCAGAGCATTCATTAGACTTGATTTTATTTATTTCTCCCTGGAAATTTCTCAACACCTCAACTAAAAGCAGAGTGACTGTAAATAGATGCATTTAATAAGAAGACATAAACAAATTCTGACAGATTCAGTACAGCTCAGTAATTTTCCGTGATGGCCCATGGGAATATGACACTGCAATTGAAAAAATACTGCAAGCAGCTCAAGCTTGCTTCTAGTCCTGTATTTCAGTTTCTATGGCAACAATCCATTGCCTGAGTGATGCCATTATATGTTGAAGCTAAAAAAAGGTGATTGCTTAACGTTCAGTCTGCTCAGTCTTCACTGACACAAAACTGGAATTGGGGGGAAAATTAAAACAATTGAAAGGGTAAAAACTGCATCCTGGCTTTATAAAAATTGTCACTCTACATTGTCTTTAGTCATTTCAGTTATCACACTGTCCTTCAATAAACTTCATCAGTCCACCAATACCATTATAAATTTGAGAAGATGATAATAATCACTCAGAACAACAAAAAAAGGGAAACATTCACTTTTACCATTGCTTTAGTCCCCAAACTTAACTGAAAACTTAGTGGGCCTCCCACAGATCCTTGAAAATATCACATCTTTTTATAGAGGGAAAGGAATGACCTTACCCTTTTGCTATATGAAAAGTTACTTGTTTCACCCATGCCCCTGCTTCTCCTGTACATAAATCTAGCACCATTGAGTACCACATTAATGATTAGGTGCCCAAAATGTAGCTGTGTTTTACCTAAAGCAGCTATTCATTCTAGCTCTTTCTGATTAGCAATTTTACATGCTAAACCCTGACTATTTCGCTCATTAAATGAACTATTAAGAACAGTGTTGAAAATTAAACTATTAAATAAAGCAGGACAAAAATAATTTTACTTTGTAAAGTATGTAGCATACAAATATATTAAATCTATTTGCCATATTCCTATGTGTTATTTTCCAGTAGAGTGTAGGCCTTGGACATATCAGAGATTTTAATGAAAAATTTATTTTCAAAGAAATAAAATAGCAGAAAAATAAAAGTAATCCAGAAACCTACTGAGTCAGAGGACTGTACTTTTCTACTCAAATTTCTAGAACCATAACTACATATTCTGGTTACATAAACCCTTCAAAATACTGGATGGACGAGTACTCAATTGTCTTCTAGTTCACTCCAGCCTGTGCTCTCTACTGCAGCTACTGTGGTAAGTACTCTGACCTGAATTCCCCACTTTGTATGCCCTAACCTTCTAACACTATGCACTGTCCACTCCCCTCAAATCCCATGTTCCAGCCTTTTCCACCAGCCAAGTGTCAGTCTCTTCCCACTCCAGCCAATTCTTTGCAGCTGAGTCTGACATCCCCCAAATGTCAATCTCTGTCTCTCATACCCTCCAGACTCATTCTTTTAGTTTGTAATTCAGACAAAATCCTAAAGATCAATCAATAGATGTACAACACACACTGTCCTTCTACTGCTCCTTTATCTTGTTATTAAAGTTACCTTTCTTCTTTATCCAAAGTTTTCTTCTCTGCAGAACTGATCTTTTTTGGTGGTACAGGAGGTGTCACCTTCCTGCATATCTCTTCAATGATACGTTTATTCAGTCTGCTCTGTACAGCAGCTTTCAGTAAAATTCTTTCTACTGCTGTCATTCCATCTCCATGCGAGTATCTCGGAATTTCTGGGTGGATTAAAACATCCACATCATCCAGCCATGGGGGATAGTAAGAGTTTTGTTTTCCTGAGAGTTTGTGATGCAATTTAATCAGCAAAGACAGTATGCTCTCCTTGACCTCTAGAATGGCTGTGGTTAACTGTGGAGTTGCACCAGGTGCTGACCATTTCATCGATGTTTTGGGCCGAACCACCTGATTTGCCTCACTGGTGTTCCGATTGATGATCTCCTGAAATTTCTTCCTACGTTCTGCCACCAAACTGAACACTTGAGCTGTCCCTGAGTTCTTGGGAAAAAAATTATCATGATTAATTTGCAAAAATACAAGTATAAACAACCCACATTTCTAAAACTACGAAAAATATTTGAAGCTAGGAAGAAAAGCATGAAACAAAAATTCTTTTCCACTCCCAAAATGTATTGAAAATTAGGATAACAAAATACTAAACCTGCATATTGTATTTTTGTACGAGTGTTATATGCAACTGCATAAAAAGCCAAGTACCAAATGAAAATATCCATACCAAAAAATCTAGCAACTGGTTTTGATCTAGTCTAACTTACAATTCTGTTATCCAGGTAATATTTCCTTAGTTTTTCTAGAATGGTAATAACTTCAGTATCTTTATGTCATTTAAATGCCTTTATTCAAATCTAGTGAGCGCTGTTGCACAATGTAACTCATTACATCACACAGCTGAATACAGGTGAGCCCACAGATCCCCATGAACATTGTGCATTTTATCTGGATTTATTAGGTAGCATCCAGAAGCCACACAAGCCTGTTTGCCAGAACTTGCTATCCAGGGCATGTGAGCATAGGAGTGCAGTTACTTTAATGACAGAGCCCATTTAGATCTATCTTATACTACTCTTGCTTGCAGTACCATGTATACCATGTCCCTACTTTCGATTTTGTCTATTTTTCTAACATGAACATACAAAAGAAATATGCACTGTATTCTGCTACATCTGGCACACAGTAATCTGAAGTGCCAGATGTAGCAGAATACAGTGCATATTTCAGATACAAACAGATACAAAACCAACACTGACCCAGAGATTGTATCATCTACTGGCCATAAATCTTTCAGGATCCCACCATTTATGTATTCCTTTGTTTCACAACAACAACAACAAATTGCTATTATAATTTGAAAAGCCCTTTCAATATAAGGTTAAACTTACCTAGACTCAAGAAAGCTAAGACTATTCTACATTATTAAATGTTAGTAGTATCTTGGCAAGATCAAACAGGCCTAAACACAAAGCTCAAGCAGTAAGCTATCAATGGCATTTTATATTTGATAGGAAGCTTTTATTTCCAAATACATATTAAAAATGTTTTATTGCTTCAAAGTCTGCCAGCTAACATTACCATCAAGAACATGAAAAAAGCACGAGTCCTTGCAATATGAATTAAAAGGAAATTCAGGAAAATTAGAGGATTCCACTGAAAGTTAAGGTGAGCACAATTAAAGCACATTGCTAGTTAATGGCTTAGGAGAACAAACTGCACACAGATCTACCTCTCTCTGGAGGCTCTTCCGCCTTGAATTCTGGTAGATTGAGGACAAAAAAAGTCATTAAATACATCATTAGGAAGGAGGCATCATTGGAAATAACTTCTATTTCTGCTATCAGTAAATATAGGAAAAATAACTGAAGGAAAAATATCCTAAGGAACTCATAAAAACAGTAACAAAACTAACAAAAATGCCAACACAGGCAATAACTTAAACTAACCCAGAGAATCTGGTATTTTATCCACTTACTTGTGATGAAGCTAAACCATCAGAACTTGTACTTGCAGGTGGTTCTCTCTTCACCTCAGGAGCAGTTTCTGGTACTCTTACTCGGACATAATTAATGAAGTGACGCATGTTAGAAACCAAATTACTGCCTGGAAACCAACTATCGTGGCAACGCTCTTGTCCACCTGCAGACTCCTAAAACAATTAAGCAAACTGTGGTATACTTTCTCTTATCAAATTTCTCATATTAAATAATTTGTGCTGCTTTTGTAACTGTATTACAGAGGCCATAATATCTTCATGAGATAGGAACAGTGTGTTGAACATTACGTACCTCAACAAAGCTAATATACCTTTTAAAAACTTTCAAAGTTTGATAACTGATATGAGTCCTATGAGGACCACAGGGCTGATATATATATATAGGTCTAAGTATTTTATATTAATATAGTCATATACAGCCATTGGTGCTAGCTAGCAGAAGTAAAAGGAACTCCAGAGAGTAATCCTAAGCCGTACAATTGAAAATTAATATAAAAAATCAGAATTATACAGAAGTCAATCTCTGGAAAAAAATGTGGCAGATTCTTAGCCAAAAAGCAGTGCTGATCAGTTAAAAAACTATGGTAATAGAATGGAATTTGGAATCACAAAAATAATGGCTGTTTATATTCAAATATCATTAAAAGTAGAATTAAAAGCAGAATTAAAATTCTGACTTATTCACGTATTTTTGAAGATATAGATCTGTAGCAATAAAATGCTCAGTGATAAGGGTTTCAGGTGAAAATTTAGAGATTTTTAGACTTAATGATTTAAATTTTTTTTGCACAATTTCTAATTTACACAGTGGTAAAGATCTTATCAATCTGTGTAGTGAGACCTCATATACAGAAACTGCTGAAAAACATAACAAGATACCATACTCTTCCTCACAACAGTATGTTTTTATTGTTTTATTAGTTGTTCCCCATATAAGTTAATAAAGATGCTTTATTCTAACTACTATGGTAAAATCTAATTTTAAAGAATACTGAATCATTACAAAATACCTCTGTATTTTGAAGAAGATGATGGTATTTATTCTTACCTCTTCATCTGATTCTTGTTCAGGAGAATTTTCCAACCCCAGCTCAATCAAATATAAAACCATGCAAAGCACATGCTCTGATAAATTCTGATGATCCATTAATATCTAGGTAGGAAAAGACACACATCATAGAAGATTAAGACTTCAGTACATCTAAACTTAAGGAGTGTTCTGGGTAATACATTTTGGACTTCAGTTTTTGTGGAATTTTTTTTTGTTTGTTTTCAATTTCATTTAAAATTGTTTTGAGATTTAGAAAGAAACCTAACCTTTGATCATCACCACAAAAGCAAAATTTGATTTTATGTCTTTCTAGTCAAACAAATTTTTACCTTAAAGCCATTACAAGTTCAAGCTGTGATTTGCATGAACACCAGAGTGACAGGTACAGCTGCACAGATACCACTAGTGCCAATTACAAGCAAAAAGCTGCTCCCATCCTTCCCTCCCCTTTTCAGGTCTTCAATCTCCAAAGGCCTCACAAGGTCCTGGTCCTATCAGTGATGCTGGGATAACTGGGAATACCACAAAGGTTAACATCACTTCAGCTGATAACCACCTCCACATAATCTTTTTTAGTTAAAAATAATAAAATATCTTATCTTTAAATTAATAAATGCCCACATCTTTCTTCCAACACAGCTTTCAATGCATTGAGAGGAAGAACCAATACCGCTAAAATTAAAAACCAGGACAACTTTCCTCTGGAGAATACTCTGAACTAAAGGAAAGAAAATGGCAAAAAAAGTAAGTTACCAAAAAAGTGGGTGAGAAAATATGTTTAAAATTTCATTGTAGACAGGCTATTATACAAATTAGTATTTTTAGACTGTAGCCTAGTAAAGTCTTAAATATGACTTGGTTTTGAACGGATGAATTTTCTCAGTAGATAAAGCCATTAGAAACATCAGAGAGACAAAGTTCTTAAAAATAACATTGTTTTACAATATTAAAGTCACTAAAAAGTGACTGAGGAGCTGATTTAATCAAGCCCAAACAAATCTGAGATGATAGAGGTTATTCAATTGAAAGAGGACTCAGTATTCTGTTCATATGAAGAGCACATGTAATTGTGGCAGTTGGAATCAAAAGTTCTATTGACCAATGCTTCTGAAAAGTAACATCACCAAACAGAGTTTACTGCTGTTCCACAGGAAGTCCCAAAAGCCAAGAGATATAATAAAGGCTGTCATGAATTGGGAAAATTTCACAAAGAGAGCAGGCATTAATTAAGCCAACCTAAAAAATCAACCACTATGTATTTTCCATCATCCATAAATCTGGTGGGAAAGTATTTGGTATTCCAGCTAAAACAGCAACCCAGTAATGGCTAAGATTCTCAAGATTTAAGCCCTTGAGGGTTCTTAATGGACTAAGAGAAAAAGTGGCCTAAGACACCCAAGCAGGACAGTAAAAGATGATGCATTCCTTCCCCATAGTCTCGATTTTTGTTCCATATCAAAACATTATTTGATCTTCTCTGTAGTCCCAAGATCATCTTTCCTTCACTAGCCTTCCTGTAGTACAACAGATATTTTCTATTCAACAGAAATTTAACAGTGAAACAAAATACCAGTTTTAGGTAAGCTGGGAGTCCTTAGAAGAGCACAGAAGTAAAAGTCTGCCCAGGAAAAATGTTACTCAAAGCAATTTTTGTAGTCCCTCATCTGCCTCTGCAGCACACTGCTTTGAAAACACTTTCTAAGTACAGATTCAAAGTCCATTTTCTGATGAATGGACTCTTCAAAAAGCCTTGCTTCTCTTGAAGACAGCAGCAAACTATCAAAGATAAAACCAAACATAACTTAAAGGCACCAATTAACCCTAAAAAACAGTTGCTAAAACATTATCAAAAGCCAGAATATATTTGGGAAATGATGTTAGAAACAACTGCAGTTACGAGACTTATTTGACATTGAGGATTTAAAGCTATTAAAGTTTGTATTTTTGAACAGCCACTGCTGATGCCTTAAAATTCTGCAGTGGGAGCCAGAAGAACACCACTCATGCCACTGTGCTCCCTGAAACCATCATGGAAGAGCAATCTGAATGGCACCTCTGATGGTAAATACAGTGTTCCTCAAAGTGGAACAGGATCTTTCATCCACTTGGGTACTGACTTAGTGTGTGCATATGAAACAATCATTCATGAAATAATCTAAGTGGTAGGGAAAAAAACTCGTACTAGACTCGAAAAATAATCCAAAACCAAAAATATTATATTAAATGGAACCTGACTACTCCAAATAAAGTTTAAAAAGTCATGCTTCTAAGAACTTCTGTAAAAATGTCAAAGTGAACCAATGCACTTAATGCAAATCATGACTGTACCTTGTAAAGAAGTGTGAAGAGCACAATGTGCAGAGTTTTACAGTGCAAAAGCTTTATGAGCCCTCTGTAACTTGGGTGTAGCGGTGTTCTCTTCTTGTAAGGAGGCCATGGGTTTCCAGGGAATTTGCCACTTTGCTTTAAGCTGTTGAAAGAAATGTTAAATGTTGAAACCACTGTTAAACACTGCAATAATGTAGAAACCTGCCACTGCTATAGATAAACTTTGCTTTGTGTACCTAAGTGTAAACTAAATAAAAATAGATAAGACTTCAATTAAGCTGTAAATTATTTTTAAACAATATCTTTGGTTAAGTATTTTATCTGTGATGACATGCACTACTTTGTCTGTGGCCCTTCTGGTGTATTTTTAAACATTTATGGAAGAGTAACTGACTAAGATAACCAAAACTCTGATATTGCTTGTTATAGACTATTTACTCAAGAACAAATCTGGGGCTTGAAAACACTGATAAAGTGATTAGCATTATCAGGCAGTGAAAACAAAACATTTGTTGTGAAATGAGCAAGAGGATGATGTTGCATTTCTAAAAATGATCCAACTTACAATGCTGTGTATCTGTCCATGGCAGACTGCACATCTCTGCGGTAAACTGTTCGAAGTATTACCATGACAGGGTCAAATTCCTTATCCCAAACTTCAGCTGTTGTTTAAAAGAAATTGCATGTTAACATTCTCTTTAAAGACCTTACCACTTACTTTAGATTCTCCCCTTAACTAGCTTTAATTATGTTACTTCTATTATATAATTTTTCCTGGCAAACTACGGCAATTTATAATAATTCTAACTAATAATACTTTCTATACTAATAATTACCACTCTTTATCAAACTAGAAAAATATTTCTTGCAAAATTTTGATTGGTTTCAAAAATAAAAAAGGGACACTTTATTAAGCAACTCCCAAAACATCATTTCTGTATGCGACTTGTTTGCTCTTTGTCATTTCCAAGTACTTGTGAGTAAAAGCCTACATTATTTTTTACTTTGTATGTGATAAGCACAAGCCTCTTGAAAGGAGGAAGTGAAGACTGTGGAGCTGTTAGCAGGTGGATGATATTTTACCTTTAAGTGCAGTGAACAAAATTGCTCCAACAACACAAGTCTTGTTCAGTATCAAAAATGGTCAAGCTTTGTATCAAATGATATTTGTGATCAATCCTTTACAAATATGCCTTTGTTTTATAACTAGTATTATGCATTATTTCAGCATTAAAATCTTAGTTACATACATTTAATTTAGTAGCTCTAAAACAACATCCAGAGTGGCTGTTCAGAGCAATCACAAACAGAAAAATTCTAAAGAGTCTATAAAAATATCCCATTTGATGGCCTTTTTTTCTATTTATAAGTTATTAAAAAACAAAACAAAGTTCCAATCTAAAGCCAAATGAAGACATTAGTTCTATGAATTGCTTTGAAGTGTTTAGCTCTCACAACACAAAAAATGAAGGCAAGATTCAATGACCCCAAAAGGAGGAAGAAACCCAGCGGATATAGAATTTGAGCTCCACCAGCAGGCATAACGTAACACAAGTGCTCACAACATCCTTCAAAGTTCCCACAGGCAGCAATAAGCAGCTTTACCACACTTCTGAGATTAATTTTCCCCAGGCAGGAAGACAAGTGTCTATAATCACACCTAGTGGCCTATCCTCTATACATTAACCCCTGCTAAGACTAACTGTTCTACACATATCCTCACAGACTGCTGAGGGAGAGAACCTAGCAAAGTTTGCATTGTGTATTAAATACAATCAAATTTAGCTTGTGAAAAAAAAAAACCCACATTTTTTCTGAACAGAGTTTAGTATTGCAGTCTGAAACACCAAGCTTGTTTGGGCTGCTAATGCCTAATGAGAAAAAAGGACTGAGTGAGCCATACAGTGAATATTGGAAATGCACATAGAGCTCATCTTCAGCACACAAATCTACAGTGTGCAGAAAGAACCTGGCTCTGAAAATTGGTTTAGGTTGGTTTTGTTTTTTTAAATGATGGTTAATGGAACAAAATCTAGGGATCTGTGAACATAAAGTAGATTCCACCCCCTCAAATTTAGGGAAACAAGGGATTAGAGGATTAGAGGGAATTGATCTGATCGTGACTTGCTTTAACTATGACAGGCCACAAACTACAATTCTTAAAAGCAAAGGGTTTGAGAACCTATATAATCTTACAGGGAATATGAACACTTAAGAGGGTAAAGAAAGCCATGTCAGCTTTTATTCCTACAGAAGATTTTTCAGCTTTTATTACTTTAAATAAAAGGGAATCTGTATAGTGTCATAAATCACTCCATTGTTCAATGCTATAGGTGAGATACTTAAGACAGTTTACCTCTGGAATAAACAGTTTACCTAAGTTAAAAAAAACCCCAAACTATATAGAAAAAACTCCAAACACTGTAATCTAGCATTAGATTCCCTAAATATGAAGTGCTATAATTAAAAACAGAATGATCCATCTCTTTTTCCTTCACATTGTGTTATGAAAATGACCAGCACGTAATGAGCTCCAGAAACTGGACAGGACATAAGGAAATGCAGTTTATGTAACAATAAAATTAAGTTATTTTAGATACATGAGTGTTAAGCTGCCTAATTACACATCAAAGAACCAAGATGAATCATTTCCAAAACTCTGGTTTCACAAATTATTTCACTAGTTGTAATTTGTATAAAAGAGCTTTATTGACACTTCAATCTCCCAGTACAAAATGGCAAACAATTACAAGTTACTACAATACTAGTACCTACATTAACCACCACTCCCCCCAAAAAAATCCATGGAACCAAATGGTTTCAAAATTGCCAGACTCTAACCTTCCCAGTTCTCAGGGGAGGTATGTGGGGAGGAAGGAGTTAATCTCTCTTCAGCATTGCCATTAGCCTGAAGCACAACCAGAGCACATGGAGCATTTCAGATTTCTACAGGCTTATCTGCTTAGTGACATGACACAGTAATGGAACACTGAGTTCTTAAATTATTTCTCTCCTTTGATATACCAATGCTGCGTTGAGTCCAATTTAGATGACAAGCTGGTCAGGGAAAGAAACTTGTCATTTTTGCACTGTATGCACTGTAGAATTACAGAACGATGTTCTATAATAAGTCTAGCCTGAACTTTTTTCTAGGCTCTCACTACTGACAGCAAAAAATGTTACAGGATACTAATACAGTTAAGCAATATAAAATGAAGAATTATGTATCGTGGTATCTTTAATAGTCAAAAGGTGGAGAAGTTCAAAGTATCTTTGACGTTTCACTAATGCAAACAGTTCTAGACTCTACTAAATATACACCATATTTATTTAAATCACAGAAATAATTAAGTATGCAGATCAGTAAAGTACAAATAGAGAAATGAAAAATTATCTTATTTTCCTTTGCTTTCTGAAGGTACCTGTTTAGTACAAGAAGCTCATTTTCACTCTAGATCAAAATCAATTTAAGACTACTGACAGTCTTTAACAATGCTCTTAAATAAGCAGTGGACAATAATGAAAAAGTCAAGTTTTGTGGGGTTTTGGTGGCTGTGGTAGGTTTGGCTTTTCTGTGGGGAGGATGGGGGGCAATTTTCAACACTGGTAGGTTGGGTTTGCTTTTTGGGCTTTTTAAAGGAAAAAAGCCCACTACAACAAAACCAAATAAACCCTGGTTAGGCATCTTACCAATGACTGTGCTGCAAGAGAATGCTGAATACCATACCTTTAGGTGTGTACATTCCTTGTTGCATGGAACCTCCAGGCTCAAAAACAGGGGCTTTAAAGTCAGCAACTGCTGACAGGACTGATTCAAAGCTTAAACTTCCTGGAATAATACCACTTTTAGGATTAGGGTTTTCTGGAATGTAAGGCTTACGTTAAGGAAAGCAAAGTGAATTTAGTTTCAGGACACAGAATTTCCCTCCTCTCTTGATATTTTCCATCAGTCATTTCAGACCACATCTCAGCAGTGCTCTGTGCTTACCACAAGAGGTCTGTATGCTCCAACTGCTAAGAACAGTAACTGGTACTGAAGAGAATCTAAGCCTCTCAGCTAGGAGGTTAAACTTTTTTAAGTAAGACTTGCTTCATATTTGGTTCAAGCTGTTAGTACTTAATGAGAAATAGAAACCTCTGCCTGTAGTGTATATAAAGTTTCTGTGACTGTCTTTACTTACAAACACTTTGTCTCTCTTCAAAGGGAAAAAATATTTTGCATTTACATCCAAGTGCAGAAAAAGCAAGCAAATAGTTCAGGATCCATAAACACAATAAATAATTCTGCATCTTGGATTCCATAGTTCTCGTTTTTGGTAGCAATATTTAACTGACCTACTGGCATTACCCTAAAACACAAGCAGCACTTCTGCTCAGTGATAAGTGATTGCTTATATAAATTATTCACTTGTTTTTACATAATTAAGTCATTCACTTAAGTGAATTGGTCTAAGTAATCACTTATTTTACATACTTGACTGAGTTACTAGAGCAAATAATAATAATAGTAGTAGTAGTAGTAGTAGTTATTATTATTATTATTATTATTATTATTATTTGTTAGTCTCAATCTCATCCTTTCCTATCTTCATATTCCTAATATTTTTGCTCATTGCCTATACCTGGATTGCAAGCTCTTGTATGCAACCACAACAAGCTATTTAATTTGCCTACACAACTCAAGAGTGGTAGCAGGAAAACCTGCATATTTATAGTCAGCTGTCCAGGGACATGAACCCTATGCCTGTGCAGAAGGACTTCTTAAGAGTTTGCTATTCTTTCCCCATTACATAATGTAATGTCAAAACAACATGCAGGATTGCTATTATTTGCATTTTCAGCTATTGACAGCAAAAGCCAATACAATGTAGAATGTCTGCTTTTTATATTGGCATAAACTTAGCAAAAATCAAAGGCTCAAATCCAGACAAATGCGATGCTTTGCTAAACTTTCTACAATGTCATTGGAAAACACACATTTTACCTCACACCTAAAAGACTTCTAAAGACCAGTACAGCATTTTGTATCAAAACTAATTTAAACTATTAAAAAGTATTGCATCTGCTGTAAGAAAAACCAAAATTGGAGCTTTTGCTAGTAAGTATATACAGTATATACTGTGTGTATACATACAGTAAGTACATACAAACACACCTTCACACAGTTTTTTAATTATGTGACCTAAAACCATGTTGTTCAAGCCTCACAACTATCCCAGCACCAGTCATTCTCATTCAGACACATTAGTGAATATATTCCAAGGATATGAGATCCAGTAATGAACTGTGTGTCCTGTCATTCATACACAGTTGGGCTACCATCTCCGCTCTGAGGATCTCATCATCTGTCATTCCTAGAACAATAAAATGTAAAAAGCTGTTAAAAAAGCACGATTTAAGACACACATTCAGTTTTCATTTGACATTAAAAGCATGTCAAACATGATACAAATTAATATTAAGTAATGATACAGTGCCTTAAAAATACAGGGAAAAAAAAGGAGGGGCATGCAAATATTATGAAAGGTACAATCTCAATCAGAAAATACCAGTATAAACTCAAATTGCTGTCTTTCTGGAAAAGATACAGAATCTTCATGCCATCACCTACACAAATCACCCATTTCCATCAAAGCCATTTTTCCCATTTTTATGTATCATATCTATTTCTATTTCATAAGGGATTAAAATACAGTAACTGGCAAAGATGAAACTGAGCATTGAATGCTTGAAGTTACTATATGGTTAAACAGCTTTAAGGCACCTACTAAGTGCTGAATATAAATGAAGATGTAATAATGTTATTTACATATAGATATTCCTAAAGTAGTGACTCTTACCTAAGTGTAAACGAAGACTTAACAAAAGGACCAAAAATGTTAAGGCTCCTTCCAGCATGGACCTTTCATGTTCTGAGTCAAGAACTGTATTTTGATGCTGTGAAGCCATTGTTAACAGATCCACCACCTTAAATCTACACAGCAAACAGCAAAGTAAGAAACAACAATTTAACATTCTCCAACATTAAAACACCAATGTGAAACACAGTAGATAAGCTCAGGATAGCACTCACAACAACGAAAAATGAAATACAAAAGCCCAAATGAAAACAAATATCTTCACTACTGCCCTGTAAATCAAAAGCCAATGCTGTCTAAAATCAAGAGATACCTGTTTCAGTAGAGGCCTTAGGTGTTAGTTTTGGCTAGGCAGAGTTGTACCACTGAAGATATATATCAGATATGCAATCTTTCTATTACAAGCTATAAATTAGCGCAACAGCCAGCACAACATTGAACAAAAGCATTCATCTTTTAGTCCTACCTTTCAAAAACAGATGAAATAAAATAATCTGGGTCCAGTCTAGAGGCACAGACCTGTACAAAGAGAGTAAATTAATTTTATTAAATTAATTCTAGTCAATAGTTTGTAGGTAAATAATATTGGCTTGGCTCCTCAGAAAACATAACTTACTTGCAGCAGATAAATGTCAGGATCAATCATTGAATTGCAGAAATGAGACTGCACATAAGTCATGGCCTGTCCTTTAATTTGTAGACCATTTCTAACCCACATATTGCTGTGAATTTCAGAAAGACTTGCCTGTTCAGGGAATATAAAAAGTTATAAATATTTCAGAGATGTTCAGCTACTCAGTTCAATGTCGGCAGATCATCAGTATGGTACCATAGAAAAATAGAAATCATGTAACAGTTTGAATTGGAAGGGACCTTAAAGATTTCCAACCCTTATGGCATGGGCAAGGACACTTTCCAGGTGCTTAAAGCCAGTTTGCTTAAAGCCTCACTCACCCTAGTCTTGAACACTTCCAGGGATGGGGCATCCTTGACTTTTCTGGGCAACCTGTTCCAGTGTCTCACCACCTTCACAGCAAAGGATGTCCTTGTAATATCTCATTTAACTACTCTCTTTGAGCTTAAAGCCATTGCCCCTTGTCCTGTCACTACATGTCATTGTAAGAAGTCCTCCTGAGGCTTTCTTGGAGAGTCACAGAACAGTTTGGGTTGAAAGGGACCTTTAAAGGTCCTCTAGTCCAATCCCCCTGCAATGATCAGGGGCATCTTCAACTCGGTCAGGTTGCTCAGAGCCCCATCCAATCTAACCTGGGATGTTCCCAGGGATGGGGCATCTACCACTTCCATGGACAACCTGCTCCACTGTTGTACCATCCTCATAGCAAAAAAGGTACTACAGGTCATCTAAACCTACTTCAGTTTAAACCCACTAATCCTGTTCTATTGCAACAGGCCCTGCTAAAAAGCTTGCCCCCAGCTCTCTTGTAGGCCCCTGTAGAAGGGGTCCTAAGGTCTCCCCAGAGCCTTCTCTTCTCCAGGATGAACAACAATTCTCTCAGTCTGTCTTCATAACAAAGATGCTCCAGCCCTCCCATCATTTTATTCACTATCATTACACATAGACATGCATAATACTACAACTTTATAGACTTTTTTATACTAATTTGCCTCTGGAGAGTAAGAGATAAAAAGAACCACCTCAAGTTTATGAAACAGATACCACACTTTCAGATAAGAGCATATTTCAGACAACGAAAGTAATCAAAGACAAATCATGTGATTTATATATGTAGTTATTCCTTAAAATCTTGAAACTAACTCAAAATGAAGGTATTGTGGTACCAAAATGAACCAAAAATCAAGGCATCACGATTAAAAAGGGATTAGATCTAAAAGCAGTGATTACAAATACTACTCACTGCCACTTATGCACAAGTCCAAATTTGCAAATAAAGATGTTGTGCATCCATTCTGGAGCTCATTCTCAATTTAAAATACAAAAGATCTGAGTTTCTTGTCAAATTGCACTCCATTCTGCTCACATTACAATTCTGTTTTCAGAGGACTGGTCCACCCTACCATTTTCAAAGAGCTGTAGTGAATACTATTATTATGTGCTTCTCAGAGTATGATAACTAATGCCTCATTTTTAATTTTGGAAAGAGGAAGGGGAAAAAAAATATGTTACCCTAAATTCTTAGTATATTGCAGTTATAATTGTCACATAGGGCTTATTTTTACATTCCACAAATAAGACATGCTTCCTATTGTTAAGTTAGAAGTCTGCCCGTACCTGAATCTGAAGTGGGTGAATCATGAGTTTCATCAGCATCTCCTGATCTGGCAGGATAGCATCCAGATCTAGTTCTTGGCATTTAACAGCCTAGAAACAAAAGCAAGCATATGCTGTGTTGACTGATTACATTCAGTAGGGAATTTCCATCTTCTGTGAAACTACAACATGTGCTTACCTTACTTAAAAACATGGCAAAGTAACGGTGCAGTGGCAAATGAAAAGTAACTTGGTTAGGTGCTGGCTGAAAGTAAAATAAAGGTATTTAATATAATATATTGGAAAAAACAAACATACAAATATCTTTGGCACAACCACCAAGGGCAGTATTTTACATGTCTTCATTTGATAGACTTACTTTTCAGTAACACAGCAGTATTTCATTCTCCTGTCTTTCTGATTATTGAGAAGTTTCCCTTAGACAGGGAAAGCATTGCTTTTAAAACTCACAGGTTAAGCTTGCACCAGAAAATCTAAATCACCAAGACTACAGGAAAAAAAGGGTCCTAGGACATAACATTTTAAGTATTAACTACAAACTCTAATTTCAGCAAGGCAATCCTTTTTTCATCACTAGCTTGAATAGTCACTTAAATTAAGGAGAGGGGGCTGGGTGTAGGGAGTGTATCACCTTTTAAATTTAATCAGATTTTCACAGTGCTTTGCTTAAATTCACTAAGGATATTTACCTCATCCACAAAGTTGATCGCATCAAACCAGTCTTGAAGTGCTTCAAGGCAGTATCTGACAACATTGCGTGTGTATTCCTGTGTTTCCTGCAGTTAAGAGAAATCAGCACACTTATATGAGCCAAAAAAGTTTTAAGTGCCATTGTTTTCCTACTACAAATAAATACAATTATTTCAATAATATTTTTACAGTACACAGAATCACTGAGGTTGGAAAAGACATCCAAGATCATTGACTGAACAATACGTTATCAACTAAACCACAGCACTAAGTGCCAGGTCCAATTGTTTCTTGAACACTTTCAGGGACTGGGACTCCACTCCACTACTCCTGGATAGCCCACTCCAATGCTTAATCACTCTTTTCATGAAGAAATTCTTCCTGTTGCCCAACCTGAATCTCCTCTGCTGCAGCTTGATGCCATTTTCTCTTGTCCTGTTGCTGGTTCCCTGTCAGAAGAGGCAAACTCCCACCTGGCTACACCCTCCTTACAGGGAGTTAGAGAGAATGATAAGATCATCCCTGAGCCTTCTTTTCTTCAGGCTGAACAACCCCAGCTCCCTCAGCTGCTCCTCATAGGACTCACTCTCTAGGTGGTCCGAGTGCCTACTATTGTTTAATTTATCCATTTACTTTTACCCATAATTTAGCGCTGTAAGCATAAAAGAAAGTCCGTGTAACCAAAAAGAATAGCTAATGGCCTACAAGTTCTATCTACTTAGAAGGTCCTTACAGTTGGCTAACACAAGACACCCTAAATATGATACCACAATACTGCATGCATTTCAATGGTAAGCAAACTTTGTTATGATTGTATGATATAACTGTGTAACAATGCCACAAAACTACACTATATTTCAGGTTAAATCATGTTTCAGTGCTAGAGCTATACACTGCCTTCCAGGAGAGAAGCAGTTGTGTGCAAGAAGAAGAAGCAGAAAAGAAGCTAAACCAAATTGCTCTGTGATCAGCAGAATTTGCAAAGCCTATTTTCTTAACAGATTTTTCCTTTAATCTTCACGTCCCCCTAAACACAGACTCCAGACTTGCCTCACACTCTCAGGATATCCAATGACACACTTCTCATGCAAAAGGCAGCAGTGTTCAGGCCAGCCAAAAGTTGTGCAAGTGGCAGCTATTTCAGTCAGGCACCTTTTCACATCAGGAAATACAACAGCCACACTCCCATCCTGTTGCTCCACACTCTATGAAGGACAGGCTCTGCTGGCTTTCCCTATCCTGTGAGACATGAGCTTCCAACCCTCCAGGTTTCATAAGTACAACAACTAAGTTATGAAATTTCTTTAACTTTTTCAGATTTATTGATAATGACCAAAAGGTTCAAACATGTGGCTGAAGACATGACTGACAAGACAACTGATGGAGGAGCATGGCCTTAAAAAAAAAGACCATCCCATCCCTAAGGAAAAATGAAAGGAGCACTTCAAACAGCCAGAAGCTGTAATTCGGTTTTCAAAAACCAATGTAGACTCATAAATTGATAAATTCATAATGTATCAGTGTAATTTACATCACAGAAAGGCTTTTACAACTGCCTGACTCAAACTGTTCTAAAACCACATGGACTGCTTGCACAGTTTCTCAGTGTGCAGTTCAATCCAGTCAGTACTGCCTCACTGACACTATTGATTATCTTAATAAGCTAACTTCAAATACAAGTATTTATTTCACAGAAAATCAGTAAAAAGTATTTTTCATATGTTAAATATTCCTAAAAGCTAATGGATTCTATTTTTGCAGTCACTTAATATAATTTACAGTTTAGCAAATAGCAACAAGTCTTTGCTGTAGTTTGGAGACCATTTGATATCAGAACCAAAGAGGTTTTCACCTCAAATTGATAGGAGAACCACACAAATCCATAAATTACTCCATCTCCCATCATTAAGAAGTGTCTGTTGGCTGTTCAGACACAGCCAACATTAGAATCACATTAGTATGACTTATGTATCTCCATTCCCCCTGAACAAAGGCAGAATGACTCAGAGACATTTATCAAGTTCTTCATTAGATTTGAAGTTATTCCATATGTACAGTCATATGAAATGACTGCACACATCCTGAACTTGTACTCCCAGTACTGGAGACAGTAAATTATGTACAAGCATGAATTCTACACTCACTATACAGAGAATCCAAGTTGATTGGAGTTTTATGTTATTTAAATAGACAAAGAGAGCCAAACCAAAATCTTTTCAAAACACAAAAGACAGTCTTTTCAAGATTGAGAATTCTAGAATAAGTCATGAATAAAAGCAAGAATCATGAGAGGGGAATGTTAGCCTTACCCTAACTTTGCAGTGTGACAGCAGACCCCACATGGGCTGGGCACAGGCCTCCAGCTCAGCAGCAAAGGCAGCATAGTATGTCTGTGATTCAAACTCCACGTGCTCATTCAACTCCCGTTTATTTAAATTCATACCTTCAAAGATTTAAGCAGAGTTATACAACCCAAGATTTAACTAGGGATAAATGGAATGCAGTCTTTGTAGTATTATGCATTTACACACCTCGAAAAACAACTCCACAAAGTGTAAGAATCTATTTTATCTAGTGGAAGAATTTGATAAAACAAAGTTTGAACAGAAATATACCAGAAAAGACAAAAGACTGGCTAATAACTGCAGTCCTTGCTGTTCAGGGGACATGAACTTCTACTTTCAATGTTACTCAGTCAATTAGAACATCTGAATGCTGGTCGTCTTTCTAAGCAAAATATTTATCAGCATTGAGATACATAATCTTAAAATTTTTTTAATATAATCAAAAGCAACACTTAGAAGAAGATCCAGATATATGAGATTAATTTCCTGTATATTTAAATTTTGAACTTCACCAGTAAAACAGTTTGGTTTACAGTTGTGATCTGTACTTTAAGTATAACCTCAGAATTCTTGCACCATAGATCTCAATCGACTAAGTGTGATGTGACTGCTCTTCAACTACTTCACACAAGAAAAAGATTCATTAGATAATTTTTGTAACCTGTTTTCTAGAATATACTGTTCTCTTCAAGAAATACAATCTTGGGGGAATACTAATAGATTAAATATATACATACAGAACTGTAGGGATTTTGCTACAGTGAACATTAACTGTCTTAACATCCTTGTAGCAGTAGTGATCACAAAAGTCACATACCTTGAAAAAATGATACAAAATTCATCCATGTTACCAAAAGACCATGATCTTCCAAAAACTTCTTTGCCACACTTTGGTGTGAAAGTATGTTTATAAAATCACTAACCAGGGGCCAGTAAGTGTTATTCTTCAGTAGTGCTTCCCCACAATTCACCACAACATGTAAACTATTCTCTTCATCTAAATTTAAAAAAGAAAAGAACAAAACAAAAGGAGAAGACAAAGTAATTTCTTTTCATTTATTAATAAAGTTACAAAAGAATGCAAAAATATCGATTAGGATGTACTGTAATGCTGGGGTCAGACACACACAGAGAAAACTGCAGAAAACTAAAATAGTTCTTTCATGTACCTGAAGCTGTTTTTTCATCATGGACTAGCCTACACAGATGCCACTCAGCAAGAGTCACTTAAACTTTGAACAATATCACAACCTCTGGAAAGCAGCATGTTAGGAAAACCATCACAGCTATGGCTCTTCCAATATTTCTAATTATTAAAAAAACAAATAAAACAATTCCTATTTCAAACACCTGAATTCTACTTTGAATTTGACATAATCCCAGTGAGCAAGGTACCTTACAGCATTCAAGAACAAATCTGGTGATCAAAACCTACACTGGCATGTTGAGTCTGAAAAGAGCAGAGCAAAACATTTCCACTCTGAATTTGGGACAGAGAGAGGGTTTGTGCAACCTGCCCAAGACTGGGGCAGGAGAAGGTTCCTAGAAGAGGAGGATGAGAAATCAAAGTCGGGGGGGGTGGGGGGTGTGTTTCTGTGTTTCTTTCCCTCCCACCACAAATCACAGAAGTTCATCCTCTACATCTGCCAAATAAATCTCTTTGTTTCCTTTTCATAAGAGGGACTCCTAGAAAGATCAGAACGGAAACAGAATTAGTTCTGGATTCATGATCCAAGCGAAACAACTCCCAATACCCATGTCAGTTAATATTCTATTTCAACAGAAAGAAGAACAGAAGAAAAAACACTCATTAAGAGACTCCAGTCTCTGGATGATGAGGTAAACCTGTATGTAGAGTGGCTCTCTCTGGCCTGTCCAGTACAGCCTTTTTCTGCTGTACTGAAATTCTGATCCATTACAGAACCCTACCATCATGCTAGCAACATCCCATACTGACCAAAAAGTAACATTCAAAAGATGCTTAGAAAGAGTTTTAAATTACATTCCACCAATATGGCATTTATTTAGCAAAAATCACCTGATGTACAAACTATTAAATATTCAGCATTTTCCTTTTAATACTGTAAAGCAGTCTATGTAGGGCAACAGAAACATTTTTCATACTGAAGTGCTGCTGAATGACGGCACTCTTGATAGCTAGATGAGTGAGTATTTCCCAATTCTGCACAGATATTTTGGTTTAGGCTATACACAAACTGGACTCTGAGACAAGAATACTTGGGGAAAAAAAAATACAATTTCATGCATAAGTTTGTGATACTTATTTAGCAGCAGCACTCAGCCTGTCTAAGGGGTGCTTTCAGATTCAAACTAGGATGAAGAGGGTTGAGAGGTCTCCAGTCTGTTAGGCACATAAGAGTGTGAATGTCAGAGATCAGAAAGATTCAATTGTGCCATTTTCATATAAGGACAGGTAAAACAAGGAGGGTGAAAATAGAACAGCTGTTTTACTAAAGAAGTTATACAGTCTACAATAGCTCAAATTCAAACTGCCACTTTGTCAAACAAAAGGTTGATAAAATTGCTATATTGACAAACTATTACATTATTCTTCTCTAATTATATCAAGGCAATCACAAGTTTTAAAAATTAAAACAATTTTAAATACTGCAAATAGCTTGTGAAATTCTTTGAAAATATTTTTTAAATTCATACAGGTCTCAATTTGTGTATATCATTTTTCATTCAAATAGTTGCTTATGCACTTCACACAACAAATTAAGTAGTAGGTAATAACCTGCATTCTAAATCATGTAACATTCCTAAAAAAAAAACCATACAAACCAAAGGATAAAATATTAGTATCATTCCTGATAACTACCTTTGTATTCCCAGGGAATTTTGAGACTCTTCCTCTACCATATATTGCTAGATCCTGTACATTTTTGGAAAGGCATCAGTAGGGCGGATTGACCATCAAAGAAAGATTAAATTTCCTCTATAATCAATTGATTATTCATGGAAAGAAACAAACAAACAACTAAACCTACCTTGCAATTCACTTTTAATAAGGCAACTTTCCATCATGTACAACAGAACAGTGACCATAATATCCAGCAGTTGGCATTCTTCTGTTACTTGGCGTGCTAGTTCTTCATTGCTGAACAACTGAACACTGATATGCACAATTCTATTAGACATGGTGTCTGATTCATGGCTTTTCTTCAGTGTTTTCATAATAAAAGCATAATGCTGAACAAATGTTTTTGTAAAAGCAATCTGCAAATTATAAAGAAATGTTGACATTAATAAGCATCATACAAAACTTATATCTTTCTTTCATTATAAAATATTCCTTTATGAATGTACAATCAACATACCCTGGGAAACACCAGTTGCTATGACAAACCAAAAGTGATGACTGCTTTCTAGAAACAGACCAAATGAAAAGACCTATTTATAGGGAGGGGTATCTTAGGCTGCTAATTTTATTAACTTTCCCCAGAATCTAATCTTGTCATTCTATACTTTCCACACTAAAGAAAGCCAACCCAGAAATGTTCAAACAAGGAATATAATGTCTCAGCATGCCCGTGAAAGTGGTAAAATTCTAACAATTATTTTATCCTAAATTTGTACATCCTACAACAGATGTCCTAAAATGATACACTGTGAATAATTAATTTTGTAGTGCCTTATAAAGCTGCCTCATCACTTGCAGCCATCTAACCATGAAGTAAGGTATTCATTTCTAACCATGAAGTAAGGTTTTAATTCATTTTCAAGCAAAACTTTCTACACTGATTTTCACTTCTACTGTCGTAGTATCCTATACTTTTTAAATAAACCTTTAGTGCTTTTCCCTCAATAACTAAATTAATTATGCAGATTTGTTATTCTTCACACACCTGTTAGTGGGGTTTTTTTTAACCAGATCATTTATTTAAATGCATTTAAATGTATTGTACATATATATATATAAATCTTAGTACAGTTCTGTGTTCCACTCCATTAGCCTCAAAATGCATTATAAATCAACCTTTTCACTGCACATCCATGAACATATCTGCTAGCTTGGAAATCACTTCTCACTTAGTACTTTAGGTTCTGAATTAGCACCATCTGGACTTGCTTGGCTTAGTAAGAAGACAAGCTGTGTAGTGATAAAAATCCAAAGTCTAAAAATCCCTTGCCGATTCCTTCTGGAAGTATTAACCTTTCATAAGCATAGAATTAGAAATGTTAAAACCACCCTCAGCAGCCATGCTTTCACCAGATTGTATACAGATCACTACTTTATTTGATCTGCCTTAGACTCAGTGCTCCCATATTTTTATCATGGCACTACCATGTTATTATCACCTCAGAAGTACTTCCAAAAACATGATGACATAATTCTGCTGTTAGGTACAGAAACTGGTTCTCCCAGCAAATACCCCCAAAGATAAAGTTGCTGATGCAAGAAACTGAACCAAGGTGAGAATGGGGACCTCACTGCAGGAAACACTGCAAGAATTCTTAACTTGCCTTCCTATACCTGGCCCACAGTGATGGAAACCTGTATAATCACTGAAAGTATGTTCCACATACAGCACCCAACAATGCTAACTGTTCTCACCTAAAGTGTTTTTGGCACAACATATTCTCAATACTTGAGCAAAGTTAATACAATATCATTCTGGTAATACAGATATTCCCATCACATAATTTCCTTTATGTTAAAGGTCTGAAACAATTTTCATCACTGGCATTAGCATCTATCATCAAGACATTCACACTAATGTTAATTACACCCTAATTCACATTAAGCCTCAGACAGAAAATATGTGTAGCAGGTATTTTAAGAAGTTAGTATATTAACACTGCTGGTAAAAGAGTATGCTTTATTTATGTATTACTTCTTCACACTGTATTATGTTTAAATAGGATTTTTGGGTTCTGAGATGAAGAAACTATGTTTCACTTGTTTTACACAGCACGCTCAATTCAGATTAACTGCAAAAACAAGGTCCTTCTCTAAGGATAAATTTTGGATTTTTTGAGAGGAAGAAACTAAACTCATTCCAAAAGTTAAGAAGCTGAAATACTGTGGTAAACTGCAGTCAGCACACAAAACCAGGCACAGTAGGCCAAATTAGTCCATCCACATATCCTTTCTTTCAGTGGCCAAAGCTATATACACAACAAAGGAAAAATATAGAATGCAGCAAGAATGCAATTTCTGTCATACCATGTTTCCAAATAGTCAGCTCCAACCTTCTGCAAGAAAGATTCCTAAGACACACATGCTTCCTGTGCATCTAATTATCTTCACTGACTTTTCTACCTCTAGAGAAACAAAGTTAATTTTTTTTCAGCTGGCCTTTCCTCTTGGTGACCACTCAACTTCAATCCCAGAACTCTCTGGAGACTAACACCAACCCCATGCTTCAGTTAGAACTTACATCTCCCATGTTTATATTCTCAATGCTAAGATGTAAACTACTTCTGCCAGCTGAATGCTGCACTAAAATTAAGGTTCCAATAGAAAAACTGCCCTACAGAATTTGTAGAACAGCATATCCAGGGGTTGGTGAAGTCCTATTGCTGTAATAGCTGCCCCAAAGGTCACTATGGGAGGTGCCTGACACAGCACAGCATTTCTGTTAATTATGTTTGTTGATTCATTATGTCCAGATGCTTCTGCATTTTTCAGCAAGATTTCAGCAAGGCTCTGTTCTTGGATGATTTACACTCTTCCAGCATCTTCCTGTTTACTGCCAACACATTCTTTGCCTTCTCCTTGGTCACAGGAAAGTCTCTTTCTCGAGCCTTTTATTTTTCCTCTGGTCCACACCACAACACCTTTAATTTCTTGGAAACTTCAATAAATTTTTCTTCTGCTCTCTTTTTCTTCACTTGTAAGTCTTCCAAGCTTCAAATGTCAGAGAGTGATGGAAGGGATGCCTCAAGCACAAATCTGTAAGGCAAAGACCACACTTTTTGTTGTGCTGTCTCTCTCATTTGCCAAAGTGGGGAGAGAGTCAAGAGCTAGTTAACCCAAGGTTTTAGCCCACCCCTTTCAACACCTCTTTTCAGTACTGGGAATCCCTAAAGGGAAGTTTGTTTTCCTATTTCAAAAAAAAAAAAATCTGTCTATCTGAGATTGCTAGTGGCTCTGTGACTGCTACACAGGGCAGTGATGGATTCTCATATGCTTATGCTGGAGGTCAGAGATTTCAACAATTCCAAAGCATATGCAGATAGGCAGCTCTGTGCTCTATGTCCAGCTATCTCCCCCAGTTTACCAGGAATCCAACCTAGCAGAATTCTGCTGATTTAATGAGCTAAATTGCCTCACAAAGAATCAGATAAATTGCACAACAGCAGACAGAGAAAAAATTAGAACAGTACATGTAGTATAGATGGGATGAGAGAAAGTAGCAGAAAGCTGCAAGACCATTTGGAACAGTTTGAATCCCTAGAGGTATTCCTGTTGTTTGAGAATGCAGTACGATTAATCAGCAAACAGACTTTTCTTTCAAAAAAGCTAAATGGAAGCACGTAAGATAAAACATTCTTCTAACTCATCCCAAAATATTATGTTCTCTCTTTTCCATGTAAAAGGTAGAGCCACTCCTTGTAAATTAACCACAGGCCTCTTAAACATGTTTAAAATTCATGCAGCATTGACAGTTTTGCAACAAAGCAAAGGTTTCTTGTGAAAAAAAGTTTACTGCCTCCCTAGTACTGCTATGTGATACATTTCTTGCTCTGAGTCTCCTCTACTATTTAAAATGCCATTTAGACGACCACGACAATTAAACACAGATTCTAAAAGAATTTTGAACACTTGGTATTTGTGCTTCTACTAAAGTTTTAACATAGGAATTAACTGCTTAATGAAAACCAGTACGAAATTAGTAACAAAAAAACCAACCAACTAAAAAAAGTTTATAAAAACCTTTCAATCTCAGCATGCAGTATTGGTGGGTAGAAAATGGACTATTTCCAGTTAAAGGTGGCAATCACAAGAGAGACCAAATAAACCATGATCTCCATTCTGAGTGAAGAAAGATAATGAATAGAATAAAGAAAGTCACTGAAGACTATGGCTCATTGTCAAAGGAAGAAAGATCCAACAATCATTAGAAGCTGATGTTATTACATGGTACAGTTGTAAGGGAAACACAGCAACACTTACCAGATTCTTCTGCATGCTGCTAGCAGCTGGGTGTTTTTACAGGCAGGAATTTAGCTGGCAATGGATCAGGAGAACTGGATGTCCATGAGCATGTCCAAATATCAGGAAGAATTCAAGCTTCATAGCAATGGATCATCAGTTAGGAAGTCCTACTGTCTCCTCATGTATTAGCTGAATCTAAGACCAGGACGAATCTGTGCTGGTATTCCAAATCAAAGTGGTGTCTTGAGATGGACACAGTAGTGCTCAAGGCCCATATCTTGGTGTTTTCTTCCTTGCAAATTATCTTCATGTCCCTTGTTTTGATGGAGCAAGATTTTAAGAAGGCACAAAAATAGTGTTGTCCCATTATAAACAGACTTTTTTGAAAAAATCTGCATATCTGGACTGCAGAATTTTGCGATCGTTTCCTCCCAGCAGGCATTGAGAAGGTCCAAAATATTTGCATGGCTCAAGGGTATGACATGATCAGAGCAAAATGTTAAGCCTGATTGCTATGTATACTAGGTCTTGGGAACATGTGGAGCAAACAACCAAATCTGGCTGCACACCAAGATTTAAAACAGGAAGATGACATCCAGTCTCCACAACTCTGGGCCAGGAGATACTTCGTAGGGACAACTGCAAAACTCTGTAAGGAAGCACCTGGAAGGCTGCCAAAATCACCTAGGGCATAGCTGCAGCAAGAACACTCACACTGTAATGGCCTGGGTGGAAAAACCACTGCCTACTACAATAACTGAAACAGGAAAGAAATCACTGCGATTATTCCCTAGTCATACCATACTACAGAATCATACAGTGCTGATCCACGTGTTTTAAGTGACAAAAACAAACTGCAAAGTAAAATAAAATGAAACAAAATCCATCACATGCAAACATGCAAAAACAGACAAAAAGGAAAAAAAGTCATCAATCAAAATTAATAGTGCTGCTCCAGAGTTATCCATCTTGTTTTATCCACATTGGTTTTCAAATACTAAACACTTAGGAACTTCTTATAAAATACTCAAAATAAGTTAAAGATCTGCATTATTTTACTACTTATTATTCAAACATGAGTATACATAGTGTCCTGCAAAGGATAATACACACTAAGTATGTGAATATAAAAAGATACTTAGGTTTGAATTAAGTAAGGCCAAGTACCTTATAATCTTGATCTGGTAGCATGTTGAGTAAGAAAGTCACCATCTTCTGCGGAAACTCGTATTTTATTGTCCAAAATAATAGTTCTTCTAGAAAACATTTATGCTTCAAAACATCCATGATAGACTGATCTGCATAAAAGGTTGAAGCAGGGCATGTGTAATGCAGTAAGTGTTAAAACTAAGAACAATAATAGTGCTGCTGCAGTCATACAAAAATTCAGTAACAAAAATTTAAGAACATTTTAGTTCATTCTGTAAATAATTTCTTTTTAAACACTGGAAAATTAAGATCACCAATACTGCAGAGTGTCAGAGTCTGTAGCTATAAAAAGGATCTCCCAGAGAAGCCAGTGAAAGTTTTCAGTACAATTCTATCAATCTTCATTGATTGCATTGAATCACACCACCTGACTGTAAAAGCTACACTGATTATAATGCATGACAGGAAATTGCACAATATTTACACAACTACTTAACCAAGGGAAACATTGTAGATTACTGCTTAGCTGAAGTTAAAATACCAAAACAAAAAAATACAGTTTATGATTAAGTGATTAATTCTATTACCTAAACAACCTTACCAAGCTCTAAACAAAATAAATAGAAGCAATAATGTATCCTTTATTCTTACTTTCAAAGCAATACATGCATTGACTGACCAACCACTAAGCTGTTTGCTGGGTTTTTTAAATACAAAAATTACCATACACAGATAATCAGGAGGCACTAGCTCCTGATGGTAGCAGGAGAGGCATTCTCATCTTTACCCTTTTCTGCCCACTCACTCTGCCCCTTTACTCATACTGATAGTAGATCTCTGTGGGGCACCTACATAGGAATCAAGTCCAGGATCTTTCCATTTTGTCAGCTGTGTTTTGAAGCAGATCAGTTTCCTGATTGCAAAGCTGCAATCTGACCTTTGCTAGAAAAAACTGCATGAAATGATCACTTGATAGAGCATAAATCATATTATCTCTGTTTTCAAAAAACTAAAATATAAAGACTCTTCATCATAAATAATCAACCTCTTGAAAAATTATGCTTTACAGCTACAACAGGTGGTGTTCACTCCAGTAACATATGAGGACTAAAGTAATAATACTACTGCTTCTCTACACCTAGAAATCAACTACACCTGAGGATACAGAGCTCCACACAAAATCACATATTCCAACAGGAGTGCATGAAGTGCTGTCATCTGCACACATCCAAAAACATTTGCACTGAACATCATCTGGCCTTGAAGACTCACATCTTCATTGACGTGTGACAGCTTTAGAGACTGCACTGGATAGCTTTGTGCCTGTTCTAGGCAAGACAGACATTTGTGCTCTTCCTAAGCAGGAATTACCTCAATTTTCCACCATTACCAAGTGTCAGAGTTTCCCAGGCAAGTAACCAATTTGCCCAGACTTAAATTTTAGGGTTCTCCTCAAGACTCAAGCAAGTCACAAAAAAAATGTATATGTTTTATTCAATATATTTGACAAGTCCTGGTATAAAACACTACCTTTATATAATCATAAAATATATTAAAATATTATAATATGTTGTAATATCAATAAATATTAAACTAATTTGAAAGGTATTACACATCACCTAGAGCAACAAACATATGATGCTCATTTATGTTCTCTTCCTCATCTCTTGTTATGAAGTTGCATGTGTGATTTGACTGCCCAGGAAAGCTTGGTAACCATGCAAGACTGAAGTCTTCTGCCCACAGAACAGAGAGCACAAGTTTAGGTACATGCCAAATGCTTCTGAATGAGAACAGCAGGCATGGACATGACACAACACTGTATCTGTCACTGAGTGTGCAGCTTTCTCTGACACACAGCACAGGTGAACAGGGCATATCCAGTACTCCATGCAGCAGTTTGAGGCAGGGACACAACAATACACACCTGCTTACACCTGCTATATAATTTGAGTAGGCAGAATGCTCTTAACCAAACCTGGAACATTTATCAAGAATGCTGGGACTAATGTTCCCACTCTTCTGAAAAGCATCACTAGATTTTAAATTTATTTTTTAAAAAAACAGTGTCTCCGGGTTTAAAAATCATCTGGTATTTCAGATGGATGCAGGATGAGGTTTTAAAACAGAGTAAAAAAAATTCTCACTATTCAGTCCCATATCTGTGTGAGTGAACCTCAGCTTAAAAACTGCACTTTCTTTAAAGAAATATTTTATTCTTTGTGCCACAAAACACCTCACAGAGTGTTGTAAATATCTCTCTGGAATGTAAGATGTAGCATTCCAATATACCCCCAGTATATAGCCCTGATGAAGACAGTACCACTGCAGAGCTAGGATGGGATAGGGAGTTTGCTTATATGGAAAAGGTAAATCTGTTTTTATTCAATACTCAGTTTTCCAAAATTTTCTTTTCATACTCTTATTTTATACCCTATTGGACATAAAATATGAATACTGAAAACTTTAGAAAACTATTTGATATTTAATAAAAACAGATACTTACCCTTCCCCCTTTGGCAGACTCCCTCCTCTGGGGCAGATATTAGGAGCTATCAACATCATGATCATAGTCCATGTTGGGATGCCTCAGAGGGGGAAGACTACAATCCTGGGGGAAAATGAAGTGTGGAATTCAAGTCTCACTTATCCTGAAATGCCACTGCTGATATTGGTTTTCTGCTCAGGAAGCTTCTAAATCTGGGCTTCCTCCCTGCCTCTTTCCCTAATGAGTTATTATGCATCAGAACAGCAGCATTTTTTTCTTGTGTTACCTGACTCTAATTCATATTTTAGACAAGCTAACAGCCTCTTAAATCCAAGTAAGAGAACCTTACTTGGATGCCTCTATGTTTCCTGCATATCTCCAAAACTACTGCCTCTTCCACATCTCTACCACAATCTTTCTCACATCGTTTTTAAGATCACCTCTAAACAACACTGTTGCCAGAACCTTTAGTTCTCTGCTTTTTCAGCTTCCTCATCATTTTTCCTTAAATCTGGAAACACTAGAAACAATCAATCTTACTTTCCCATACTCCTCACATCATACTATTTCATTGATTCAAGAACCTCTGCATTTAAAACTCAGGCTCCAAACCTTCATTCCAGAGACCGTCCAGAAACTTTATTCCAACTTTCCCTACAATTCCTCTACCCAAATATTCTTTTCTCAACGCTTTCAACTCATTGCACTTCCTGTGTCAGTCTCCTCACACTCATAATAAAAAAAACCCAATCAAAAAATTCTTCTTTATTTAACAATAGCATTTAAATATTATTAAACACTTTTTAGCACAGAAACATGTCAAGCACAAGACACAACTGTCTTGTCTAGCCTATGGTTGCTCTTGAATTAAAACTTGCAGTGACCTCAATGTGAATGCTACTCATGTTGGACTAGAAACTGCAAAAGGGACTAATTTCAAGCTAGAAGAAAAAATTGAGTGGTTTCAAGAGAGACTTAATTCAAGTATTTTACCTTAAACATTAATAAACTACAAGAAGACCAACCAGAACCAGAGAGAACCATTCTTGCCTGGCTGCTAACACAATTATACTGCACAGTGGCACAATCAAAAAAAAATTTGTTAACAACAGATACATCAAACACCTGTTTTGTAAAGCTATATTGCAGCCTTGATAGGCACACAGTGAAAACAATGAATTTTTGCAGGTCAGCTTACAACACAGAGGTGACAAAATGGTCAAACAGAGTCCCAGACAGAGGTACTCACTCAAGGGAAATCCAACCTGCCAATGACCACATTTTCACTTGCTACTCATTTTCAGACTATGCTATGTTAATATCTGTCACGTGCAGCACTACAGTGCTTGGGAAGTGAATTGAGTACCCCTGGATATTTTTTAAGACAAACATAAAGCAAACATGATGAACTGACATCAGTACTTTATAAATACCTTTGGTGGTGCTGCTTAGTTTCACCCTCTTGCGCTTTCCCACACCTTGGCTACCATCCTGGTCCTCCTGGGGCAGAGGAAGAGTTTTAAAAATTGACAATCATATACTCAGAAACTTATTGCCAAGAGATTGTATGCTCTTAAAATTCTGGTTTAACTACCAAACTAAAACAGAGAAGCCTTCAACATATTCTTACAAGAAAAACACTTTTACTGTTTACAGGAATCACGCATTGTGAGCAACCCTTTAGAGAAAAACAATTTTTTAAGTTCTTTTTTTCCCCTCTACAGGCAGCCTTATCATCCACATTTATTTCATTTATTTTGTAAGGTTAGTTACTTTGATTTCTAAAACTTATTGCTACAAAAGTTTAACACTACAAAATTTCTAATCTTTGCACATCTAAGATTTTACCTTATCCACTTGTAGGGTTTGTCAGGTTTTGTTTCAGAGAAAAAATATCAGCCAACATAATGTGTATCAAAGTTGGCAACACATATAATTAATTATATACTCTCTAATCAATATAAACTTTTTATGCAGGAATAAAGTATTTTTGACACCTTTAGGAGGCCACTTCTAACTGCTTGTTCCCTGGAGAATAGGAGAAACATTTTACACAGGCACTTGTCATCTGAAGCTTTCAAGGTACTCCACAAACTAAACAGCAAAGGTTCCAAAATGTAATACAAGTTAAAAACATCTCCACCACCACTTCACAAAATCTAACAGTGCATCTTAAAAAAGCATGTGACATCACAGGAGTATACTACACGTTTCATGGATCTTTGCCAACACAGGTAGTCCTAATGAAACCAGAAATAAAGATTCCTACTGGAGCTAATAAAATGAGATATAATTAATGCAGATATCTACTGTCAAAACTAAGTACTCAATATCCTTCTCCCCTAAGCAAATGCCATGTTTTACTTCCAAACTTCTCTGGAATGATAAAGAACCTGAATCTCAAGAAGTTACTATCCTTCCTTGAGGAAGAAGATTGTTCACACTTTATATCTAAGGACTAGCCACAAGTATGGTGTACATGAAAGGTCTGATTTTGTCTACCCTTTCATTTCCTCCATCTGAAAATCCATTTTAAGATGGACACACATTTGAATACTTAGGCATCCTGTGGTCTTTGTGATCACAGGGTGCCTCTGGTACTTCCATCAGGAATGAGTCAGTAAGTTCTCAGGGTGTTGCCACTGCCCAGTCCCCAGTCAGAGGGGCCATGTACTCTCAAGAAAAAAAATCAGACTTGCTGGGATATTACTATAAACTGCAGGACTCTGCAACTCAAGTCTCCTGCCCTGAAAAAGCCATCAGTAAAGACAGTTAATTATTTGTTTTATAATCTTTTTCTTAATCATGAGCTGCTTTGCAAATACAAATTACTGAAAAGGAAGTTCACACCTTCCATCAAAAGTCAAAATAGACTGTGCAGGTGGAAAGCTGAAATGCTTATCAGAAAAATAACTTTCCTCTCCTCTGTACTCCCATGTCAGTTACACAGGGCATTTACAGTTTGTTTTTAATACCTGATTATATTCTCCTAGAGCAGAGTAAAACTATGTTATAATTAAGAAATGTGGCAAGAGCACACTTTTAACAGTACTTTCTTCCACCACTATTTAAAATGAGTGTAGAAAGGTTAAAAATGTTCTTTTTCACCAAGATCAAATGGCAGCATTGTTTCACAGATGGAACACTAGATTACAAAATTTACGTAGATAACAAATCAGGACAGTACTTTTGCAGGGAACTAAACAGCTTGGGAAAGTTTTGCACAGTTCAGTACTTAAGTTTACTTCTACAATAGTAGATGGTTTGAAGGAAAATATTAATCTGTAGGATGGCTGTTATTTCCCATGTTTTCCTTTCTGCAAAAGGAGAAAGAAGGCCCTCTCTAAACCTGTCCTCCTGTTCAACATTTTATGTTCCAAGGAATCAAATGAAACACAGTCCATGAATGCTTTTGCCACACTGAGGCATTAATGTTTTTATATGGCAGATCTCTTTCCATTATTTGAAGTCTGTTATGTTACCCTACCAAAATGTCTGCTGAGGCTTACTAGTTGAAATTAGATTTTAAATAGCTGAGAAAATTGATGAAGTTACTCTACCAGAATTTAACTTTCTTCCACTTATTTACTAAAGCTCAACTCAAAATGAGATTCTCTCCTTTTTAGTACCACTCCATATGTTTGGTAAGTAAGGTCAAGTCTACACATGGGAATTTATCTACAGAGAAATTCTCACTGCTGCTATCACCAGTTCAGCTGGATTCTCAAGTGCCAGAAACTGCTAACGCCTCTCATAGCATTCCCTGCTCTAAGTTTGCTTTAATCAAGCCCAATTTACTTGACAGTGATTTCTGGAATACCTACACAGGTTCCTTCTCAGTTATATACAGAAATTAAACTGGAATAATATTAGCAAACCTCAGGATTTTTCAAGAGGTCCTTAGTAAATCAAAGGCATGAGATCTATTCCTTTATACCTCCATTATTCCTATTTACTAAAATTGGGACAATGTAGGGCAGGTATAAGTAATGAGATTTGTGGGATTTGGCTGCAAGCATTCTCTCCCTTTAATATTCTGTTGCAGGTCATTACAGTCTTGAAAAAGTCTCACCTCATCTGAAGAATCCCCTTGTCCTGATGTTGCTGTACCACCTGCCAAACCTTTTAAAATAAAAAAGTTCAGAGATTCTTTTCATAAGTCTATTATTGAAAAGACAGTATTTTAAGATATTTAAGCCAGCATGAAATGGAACACTTCATTAATCTTCTTTAAAAGATACAGAGCAATGGACTGAAGTTGGAGTAAGATTTCCAAGCAATACAAAACCAGAGATTTGCAAATCCATGCCATTGCAGAACTTCAGTGCGCTGTGTTAACAAACATTCTTTCAGAAATTGAATAAAAAACCTCTGATAAATAATAAAGTCTGATGGACTTCAGTGATCAAACAAAATAAAATCCACAGAACCTTTATAAGAAGAAGTGCTGTGGATTGATAATCACTTTGTTGCAGTGGCAAAATTTCACTATAAGCAATTACATCTTGCCTACTCAAATTCCACTAATATTATGACTGGAAAAATGGTGCTTAGCATATTAGCAACAAGAAGTTAACATGCTTAGCTTTGCTGACAGAAGTAAAAGTCCTGTAATTTGGTAATGCAATAAATAACAGGTAATTCTCTAAGTTTCATTAAGATTAGCTTTTCTCAAAAATAAACCCAAAGCAGTTTATATAAAACCCATCAATACTCAAGTCTTCTCTTAAAATATTTTTCTACACAAACCTTGAACAGATAATGTGCTAGTTCCAGCTCCTTGTTCCTGCATATTACATGCAATTTTATCTTCAGGAAATGCCAACCCAGAGCCTTTCAAAGCAATGAGGTACTTTTCATGACTTTTCTTTGCACATGCATTCTCTCCAACACCTTGAATACACACATAAAACAGTATTAAAGCACAAAAGCAGCTCCTCGGTTCATATGCTCACACTCTATGCAAGCAATCTAAAAATGGCCCACAATATTTTAATTTAATAACCCATATTCTCCATTTCAAGAGTCCAGATAAGCATGTCTTACTTTCCATTCCCTTTCTGTATTTCTGTATCAGGAAATCCATCACATATAGGAAAGAGGAGTAATTAAATTACTCCCATTTGAATACTATAACAGGAGAGAGAAAGGAAGGAAAGAATAAAGAGAACTGCCCCTAAGGCAGCTTTACTAAGTGTTCCTCCTTTCAAATAAAGATTTGGGGATTGCCTGCTCTTTAAGTAGCTGCTGCCCAAGCCAGTTATGGCAACTTTAAACTACAGTAATCACTATTTGTTCTGTACCTATGCAAGGGACTCTTAATCACAAGAAAACAACATGGAGTTAATTTACACTAGGGATTTGGGGTTAGTTGTGACTGCCAACATTTTCAGATTTATTGTGATTTGGTACAGGATTGAATAAATAAGGGGGGGGGAGAGGTAAAGTTTAAGAAAAAAAGATGAAAAAGGCTTTGCACAGAAATTCAGGACAGACAATGCCTTCTGCCATTCAGGTTTCTTCCAGTAACCTCTGTGAGAGTAGATCCCAAAATGAGTTACAAATATTCCACTTCAAATAACCTTATTATTACTAGTTTGGAAGTACTAAGCTAGAATGGATTTCCTATAAAAACTTTTCTGAAAAGATGTTTACCTATACATTTATTTGGGACACAGATCAGATGTTTGCTCTTACAGGTCTTAAAAACAAATGTTTCTAGTCACTCCTGAAGCTCACCCTCCTATCAACATAATAGCTTTGAAAATACACTTTTTTCTGTGTTTTGAGATGTCAAATAAAAACATGCAGAAACTGAAATTATAAAAACTTATGCCCTTAATGCTTCGTAGTTTGAAAATCTAATTATTAGAAATAGCACAAACATACCAGAGCTAAGATCTTTGTAGAACTGTTGGCTAGTTAAAACCTGGGTAAGAACTGATCTCATTGCACCTCCCATTTTGGTCAAGTCTTCTAGGAAGGAAACATGAGGCTCCAAAACCTGGAGAATTTTATGAAGGTCTTTCTCCGATGGCAGATCAAGAGCTGAAACCACAGAAGAAGAACTTTTGGTGTAGATGTAATATAATTCAGCCAAAACTGTCACAAGCAGAACAGTTACAACCATTGCAAATGAAAATAATTTATATATTCATAATGCTCTTAAATTCACACATACCAATTTCAAACTATACCTCATTTCATTTTCTGGAAGAGCTCAGCACAATGATAGGTAACCCCTAAAACATATTTAAGCATGCCAGCAGGTAATAAAATCAAATCACCTAGTCAGGCTGTAATTTTGTTAGGAAGAGAGGTACAAAATACAATGACATCAACTATGGATAGCATTCATGTGCTGTGTCTTCACAGACTGCAAGGAAGAGCTAACAGCATGGTAAGATATGTTAGATACATGCAAATCCAAAACATACCAGGCTCATTATATCCCTCTCGTAAATGCTGAATCAGACTAAAGATGAACTGTGGAAGAACTAATTCTGACATCATCAATAAGTGTTTTGGAACACATGGAACATTTGAATTCGATTTAATCCGGTGTCTTTTACAAAACCTAGAAAACAGATAAGAAAAATGTTAGCCAAGCACAGCTCAGCAGTTTTAACATATTCTAAGAAAAGTATTCCTTTTCCATTTTTCAGAGAGTAGATGTTTTTACATTAAAGGTGGTATGGAAATGGTATTCTGAAATTCCAGCGACTCTGTTCAAGCCCATTCTGATTCTGAGGCCAGAGAATTATAAAGCTGCCAATTTTTTTTCTGCTGCTCAGAGTTCACTTATCTAACATCTCAGCTTCTTCCCATACGTATCAGAAGTATCTTCCATTGAACAATCAGAAGAACACTGACTTTCTTCTCCTTTCTGTGACTTAATCAGACGTTGGTCTTATTTTTCAAGTCCTCATTCAGATAATGACTTTCAAAAATATCTTTTGACAATAAAAACAACTTAAAAAGGCATAAGATTGTGCAGGATCAGTGTGCATTTCAAATGTACAGCAACTATGATTTACAAAATCCTTACAAAATTCTTTCATTTAAAAAGAAAAGAAAACATTTATTCTTTGGAAAATTCCTGCATGGTAGCAGCTGAGGCTTGGCTAATACACAGTGACATGATGTTGAGCCAAACCCCATTAGAGCAGACCGAATGATTTCCTACTCACTTAACATGAGCCTGACTCAGGAGACACTGAATACTTTTCAACTCCCAAACTATTTTTAGAAAGGACATAAAACAACATCAAAGAGTTATTTACCCACATCAAAAACCACACCAAACAAAGAATAGTCTAAAAATACATCACACAACAATAAACTTTTACTGAAAAGATTCACCAGATTTTACTAACAATTTTTCAACGCAAAAAATTGAGGAAAAAACCACAGCTTCGTTTGACTTTGAAAACTGTTTTCCAAATTTATGCCATGGTTTCCAGAAGCAGCCTGTTACTTTCTAAAACTTAAGCCTTTCTTCTTTGAGGACCACTGAAGAATCATCTTCAAGAGAAGAAGGAAATAGAAGAAAGGCACAAAGAAAGTAGATGAATCAAGAAAAAAAGGCAAAAAAGCCCCCCAAAAAACCAATACCAGTCCAACAGTTAAAATGGCAATTCACAAAAATGGCTAGCAAATTCACAAGATTAAAGATTAAGAGCTTCTCCTTTGCTTTTGCACATTAGAAATGAGACTTTTTATTAAGAAAAGGTAGAGAAGGACAGTACTAGCCAGTTGATTTGCTATTTGTATATAAACCCAATATATCCTTGGAACAGAAAGAGCTCAGTGATGACTGACTTTCTGTTAATAAATGTCCAAATAAATAGTGTTCACTTTTGCCTTCCACTTTCCATACTACATTCACAGAAGTTATGAAAAGTCACTCCATGTTAATTGTTGAAGTATGGATAAACAGCACAATTTGCAACTGCAGGGAATTCAAAGGGGCTTGTAAAAGTCCTTCATTTTTTCTCTTCAGTGATCCAAAATTTATCTTTTCCACATACAGAAACCTGAACTTCTATAAATCACAAATGTGGCTTCATCTATGCTAAAATATGGTATTTCCTACTCTTACAGTAATTGATTTTCCTTTCACCACTGTCCTTATAAGAAGGGATCAAAAGTAAATAAAGATCTAAAAGACACAAAAGGAAGGAACACAGTGCACTCTGAAATCTTTCACAGCCCACCACCCCCCCATACATTTTACATTCTGTCAGAAGTTCTTTTCACTGGTTATGAAAGCTAAGGAAGCCACTGTAACAAAACACACAGGTAAAGTCATTTTGAATCCCAGTTTCTGCTAAGCACAAGACTTCCTTCCACAGAAAATAAGCTCTGCTCCCCATGAAGTCAATGTCACCATGCCAGTTCTGAACCCATCACAACAGGATCAGAGTTAGAAGGGACCCAGGAGGACCATGGAGTGCACCTGAGAAGTGAATGGTGCCTCCAGGAACCGAACCCACGAGCTTGGCACTACTAACACTGTGCTCTAACCAACTGCACCAATCTCAGGGGCAGGGATTAACCAGCCCAAACTTCACATATCCTGGAAATCAAAGTTATAATAGGTTGCTTCTTGAGAGTATCAAGAAAGGATTATTGAATTATAAGGTGTGCTATTATTGCTATATTAACACAGATCCTGGAAGACCAATGAAGGACCCAGATTCGATTCCCTGTAAGGAAAAGTTCTTTCACTGTCACATGCATAAAGCACAGCAGCTTCAAACAGGAATGCATTTCCCTGCCTTTGAAATCACTTTCTCACAAAAAGATAAGACTAATTTTAGCAAAAGGAGGGAACAAACAGTAAACTTGTAATTAAATAAAAACTTAAGTTTAACAAAGAATCTTCTCCATATGATTAAAAAAAAAAATCTGACATGTCTTACACTGCATTAATATCTTATTTGTGAAAAGCAGACCATTGCTGATATCTACATGAGTAAGCAATACCATTTGTTACAAACAGAAGCAGCATTAATATCTTCTGAGCAACTTCAATGTCAAACTTCCCAGATTTATTCCATTATTTCCTACTATTTCCATTTTTAATAATTTTACTGTGAATTTCAAAAATGCATTTTACAAGTGGCTTCAGGTAAAATAACTCGTTAGGCTACAGCTTCACAGCCTAGTTGAATTAGATCAGTCCTGCCACAACTCTTCCTGCCAGCCCTCTTACTGGTTCTAGCACTTGCGCTTGACTGATCCTATGTTAAACCAGTTCAGAAGCTAAGCCAGCAGAAGTTATTTACTTACAGGAATATATAAAAAATTTCACTGGGCCAATTTAAATCCACCAAAACTCACAGACCAGTCTCCTTGGAAATCGCACTGAACTCCCTAAATCATTTTGCCATCATTCCTTTTCTTGTTAACCTGACAGGGAGCAAAACACAGGGAACAAAATAAACCAAAATCTCAAACAAAGACATGCAGGAAAATGCCATCCTGATCCACCAGCAGAAGAAGTAGATACAATGCTCACTGTGGAAGCAATTCCATCGCTTCAAAGGAGAGGTTTTTTACTCCACAGTTATCATAGCAGCTGATAAATGCCCTAAGTACCAGCCAGACCACACCTTTACAGCATTTGATCAGTCCTTCATCCACTACATCCCACAGTGTCTCAAGTTGCAGCTGCATTCCAGAAACTTGACATAAGTTCACATATACACAGATGGACTATTTTTACCCTCACTTTTCTCTCACTATTTTGTCCCCTGCCTCCCTGTCATTTGTTTTTAAACTGGATCACAAGACTGCCAAAAGAAAACATCCCAATTTCACACTCTACTACAGCACTATGAGTACCTGACTCTGACAGAATCTTTTAGGGGCAAGGATCTGGGACCCAAGCAACAGAATCCAAATGGGAACTGCTTGAAATCAGTTCTTAAGCAAAGAAAGTAAAGCCCTACTTGAGTCTTCAATTCAGTAAGTCATACCTAAACTGAGTTCTTATTTAAAACATAATATACATTTCATACGTATATATATGGTATAATATATATTCATACTCTATACCTCATGACTGACATCATGTAATGTTTCATAAAGTATTCAAATGAAGTTTGATAAATATGAATTCAACACAACTTTTTTAAAAAGCATGTGTTCTCTCTCCACTGTAAAACTAACACACAAATACTACTCATACATACTCTGAATCTACAAAATAGAAGCAAGATACAAAGTACTTTTTGAGTGCTACAATTGTTTCTGAGTTTTTACAAACCCATTACATCTTTTCTTATGTGTTAAATGTTTTTTCCTGCCTTTGCAGTTCAAATATCAAATCAAATCTTAATTCAGAACAAAGTAAAACTTTCATAATCAGGATTAGAAAATTATCTGAATGAAAAAGGGCTTTGATATATTGTAGGGTTGCTTTATGTAAATCCACTGTCCCTAACAATAACAAATACAATGATAACTCTGAAGAAATGCAGAGAAATAAACCTACTGTTCCTATTAAAATTAATGTTTCTCCCCCACACCCGAATAGCTGCACTTCACTAGTTAAATTCCTTTCACCTGCAAAACAGGCTTCCAAAAGTGAATCAATGTGGTACTGACTCAAGACCCAAGCAATGAGCACTCTTCTGCTCTTTATGAAAACTGCAAGCTACAGAGCTCACAGACAAAACTGAATACTTGCACTTCTGCTATGAGGGGCAAAGCCAACTTTAAAGCCTGAAAAGATGTCAGTCTCACTCTTGTAACCAGAAAACTTCCAAAACAGAGGCAACAGAGTCAATAGCAGAGGACAACGAAACACAGCAGAATAACTAATGGCTTCTCAAGAAAAAAAAACCAACAACTTTAAAGGACATCTTTTCAGGCTTTAAGCTTTCATGGCAAAGCTGACTGGCCAGGTTAGGTGGCTAGAAATCAGAGACTGGACAATAAGAAGTTATTCCAATCCTTGCAGAACAGCAGGAAGAGAGGCAATGACTCATAGAAGTTCTCTTGGAGCTCAGTGCTACATTAAATGAAGAAGCACACCAAGTCAAAGAAAGAGCAGTCAAAGCTGCTCTGCAGAGCATTTCCATTTTTCTGTTAGTCCTGAGACAAACATCCTGTATAGCAGACAAAACTACAATGATTTTTATTAGTATGCAAGTACCCATCATCAATCAGAAACAGTAGATTTGGCAGTTTCAATCATAAGGATGTTATTAAAGCAAAAATGAGTAAGAAGGAGAAGGAATGGACTTCCAAGACCTTGAAGTACATGGACAGTACATCTACTTGAAAGAACAAAAATCAAGAAACAGTTCTCCAAAAACAGTTAACAAAAACATTTTCTGGTTAAGAAAATTCTCCAAAGAGAATTTAAACAGGTCAAACATACAGAATGTAGTCTTTTGACCCAAATACTTCATATGACAAAGATCTAAGTGACTACACAGTGCTAGACAAATGCAAAAACAATCTTCATTTCTTCAGGACTTGAATGAGATATGTGAATTTAATAATAGGTATCAACTTAAGCTTTGGCCAGGCCTCCAACAGACAAGGTGTATATCCAAGTAATTT